GCTATTATTTTGAAGGTTTTAATACAGTTTTATATAAAAAATATGTTGGATATCACCTGAACGGGTCGCTGATATGTATATTATAGTTTAAATAAGGTAAAGTAATCGTGGAATATTATTAAAGTATATGTTAATCTTTATATATGTATATATATTATTACATCACGTCAATTAATTTTATATATGTCAAAGGTATACACTTTCACATCCTTATATCTTTTACTATTAATATTATGTTCAAGCTAAAGATAATATTTTATAACATAGTAAAAAACAATTTTGAACCATGTTCTAATACAGCCTTCTTTCTGAAGAGTCGTGAATAAAAGACCGTGGAATAAATAACTGGAATTGAAGATGTATTGTGTTAGGTATGAAGCGACAGATCATTAGACGTTAGTTCCGAAAGCATTCACAGTGAGTAAGGAAGTGCGTGAAAACATTCCTCTTACGAGGAGTAAGGGCATGAGGCAGCGGCCGAGGCGACCTGACCAAATTGGGAAGACCTTGTTCGGAGGTCGCACCAAAATATGTCAAGATATCGTTTACAACATTACGTATACTGTTTAATAAACATTCGTAAAAATATATATATATATATATTTAAAACATTGTTTTATGACTAATGAAGTTGTTTTTTTAAATAAGTTGTCTTAATTCTTATGTCGTAGTTTCATATGTATATAAGTGGCTTTTAATATGTTATAGTTGTTAAAAAATTTTGAAATATTTTTGTAACTGTATCCTATCCTTCTTAATAATGCCTTCTGTGATAATTTTTGTACGTATTGATGTTTTTTAACATAGTTTATAAAATAACTAAATAGTTTAATTTTCTCTTTTTATACTTACAGATTATAACAGATTTAAATCATATATTTGTTTGCAATAATCACTCATTCTGTCTAAAATATTAGTAAAACAAAACACATTTATATATACCAAGAGGTAATGAAAACAATATATAAATTTATATAGATTTGTTAACAAAATTCAATTATTTTATCTTTTACTTTTTTATAATTACTAAACAAAGCCCTGTCTACAAATGAAATAGACTTTACACTCTCAATATTAAAAATATATTTGGCTCTCAAAAATATCTCATAATAATTAAAACAGTTTAATTACTATTAAAATTTACATATAGTATATATAATATATAATAAATATATTTGATGTAAGTATAATCATTTAGAAGTATCTCCCACGTAAACTTGAGTCAGTAGTGTGAGGCTCGTTTTAGTAATACTATGGCGCCACGTTATACACTTGCAGTTAGAAGATCTTGAAGCTTATACAGCTTAGATAACATATCATTGATAAGATGGAGACTTTTAAACACAAAGGGTTTGAATGAAACAGTCACAGCATCTTAAAAACAATTACGTTAAAAATTGTATTATACTAGTTACTATTCTCGCCATATTAAGAGTAAAGTGATAAATATTTATTTTGTTACAAACCTCTATTATTGAACATGTTTAAGAATTAGGTTCATATAAAACTGTTCACAATTTTGTTCACACGAAAGTACCAAACATACATACAGTCTTTTTAAAATATGTTATTTTCATAATAATATAACATAAGCCATGTTTATCTCGTCGTTTACAATCTAACTTGAAGTAGATCTCTGTGGCATGTAAATTATCAAATTGTCGTTCAAACAACTCCTTAAATGGTTGTAACAGACAGACACACGGATATATATACATTTTATTATATATTAGTCACTATGTGCAATGTAAGAAAATGCATGTGAAGGAATTTGTAAATTAAAAAATAATGATCGGTTTTAAATATAAATAAAGATAAGTATTTTCGAAGATAATTAACTTGTAAAGGACAAATTTGACCTGTGTATTAAGCATGTTAATTGCTACGTAGAAAATTTATTATTTTAATAAAGTGGTTTGTGCGTGTGTGTGTGTGTGTGTGTGTGTGTGTGTGTGTGTGTGTGTGTGTGTGTGTATATGTACCTGAAACGCTTCTCAATAAATCCCAATAGCATTATTGTGAGGTAAAACGCCGGTGTTGGCGTAATGGTGCCAAGGTTGGACAATCAAGGGTAATTTGTAGCGACGTTAATATACCCCGGGGTAATACACGACAGCTGATGTATTGATATCTTAAATACTATCATTATTAAGTAAATCTAGAAATTATAGCGCGAATATAACTTATAGATCTCATAAACATTATTATACTTTAGATAAATCAAAGAGGTGTAAGATTTTTGCGAGTTTTAAAATAAAGTCGCGTAGTATATCCGAAAATTTATTCAGATTTTTTTACATGTATACAGTATTTTTATAAAATGTTAAAAAAATATATATTGATTAATTTATTATATTTCATACTAATGAACATGTCCGCGTCAACTATTGTGTGATAACAATGATTTTTTTTATATAAATAAAACAAAATTTGTGCCTCGTAAGTCGTAGGTGGTGATTAATACCTTCGACTTATTCTTAATTAATTTGCCATCAACCTTCATTCGTACATCGTCACGAGAACATGAACAAGGTTATTTATTATTTGAGAGAAAAAAATCTCTTAGTCATAGACTAAAGATTCGGCGACTTTGATGCACACAACATCCATACATAACAATAATTCGATACATTTGAATCACAATTACATCAAGAATTTTAAAATCTTTATATATACAGGGTGACTGGTGAATTACTATCGATACTTGAGGACGTGATATTTGACGATCATATATGACAAAATAATAATTAATATAACATAAATATTAATAAACTTCTAAGTAAAGTTAACCAAAAGTTATGTAATTAATTACGCATCATATGAACACCCTACAGATTAGGTATACACACACACACCACACGCGCGTGCGGCGACGTGGTGTTGTATCAGCACGCCGCCGCACGCGTCCACAATTAGAACACTTGGAACGTGTCGACACTTTATTTATTTATACGGAAATTTGGTCAAAAATTAAGTACCTATTTTACATAATTCGAATGAGAATCATGTACCGAGTATTCTCCTTAAATATTGATAGTAATTCACCAGTCACCCTGTATAAAGTATATCTAAAAACATATATTATATAACATATAATATATAATGAATCATATTCTCACAAATCTGTTAATTGATACTTCTCAAACTTCATCATTCACACAATTCGCTGAGTGGCTTCTGGTCGCGACATCAACAATCCATTCTGAGAACGACTCCAAGCGATTCTGATAACTCATCTACATATGAATATTCCACTTAAGAATTAAGATCATATACATCTGCCACTATAGAGAGAGAGAGAGGGAGAGTGAGTCCAGAACATGTATGTATGTATGTCATTACATTAAAAGCACTAAATAAATCAGTTTTATGGCAACCGTGATGTTATCGAGTTGAGAACGGTGCGCCTCTAGTCGGCATTCAAGGAGCGCGTGGGTTGATACGGCTTGTGACGCAAACTAAGACTTATGGCGAATATACATTAAATAAAACATGGAATATAAATAAATGATAGTATGTACAAGTTTAAGCAATATCTTTCTACTACAAACAAGTCAATAATCATAATGAAATCTAAGATTTTCGCGAGTACTCATTTAAATGAAACTCATATTTTCGGATTTTACTTCGCGTTTTTATTTTTTGATTACTCCCGACGTTTCGGGAAGAAATAAAAACGCGAAGTAAAATCCGAAAATATTAGTTTCATTTAAGTCAACAATCAATTGACAACAAATACATATGTATGTATGTATTATGCATCTTTGATTGAACTTCTCACACCCTGACTCTTCTGGTTCTGATAAATATTTATTATATATTTTCTACATTATATAATATTAAATATTTTAAGCTGAATATATTTCATGTTAAATGTGTATCGAGTGTCGTACTCTTCTGCCTTGTACCGCATCCCTCGAGCGCATGTTGATCGCATTGGCGCTAAGGTCGCCCGGATTCTGTTGGATGAAATTTAAGAAATTCACTATTGAACTTACAGTTAACAACATTAAGGAGACATTCTCTGGCGTTAGTGTGGAATTAGACATTGATTGTTTTACTTGGTTTATTTACCATCAACTTATAGGAGCCCAATGATGAGCAAAAAAATCTTCTCACATGGAGAAAGTTAGAGCATTAATCACCACGCTTGCTCAAGACGGATTAGCGATTTCAAAATTATAATTTGAAATTATATGTCCAAGTTTTCTCAAGATGTTTTTCTTCACCGTCTGTCAGTGGTGTCTAAATACTCTTATAAAATACATATGACTGAATTCTAGCGTGTTATACATATATCAATGAATGATGAAGTATTATTTTCTGTGTCCCTTATAGTACCGGTTATTTAGTTCAAATCTCATGCAATATATTATAAGTAATTTATAATCAGAGCGTCATTCCAACCGAATTACAATATAAAGTTACACTTTTATATGACGGTCATGGTGGTAGGAATACAAAGTATCGGCGCCCTTTGTACGCTCCGTGATGTCGCCGTGGCGTGAGGGATTTACTTTCAGTTCAGAACGAGCACCATTATAGTATTGAATATTATAAATATACATGCACTACAACTATAATATAGAAACTTAACTTGCACTGTATAAATATACCTATGTAGGAAAATAATATTTATAGACTAACAATTATTACAAACAAATGAATTGAAAACAGTATCTAAAGCACTCTTTAAATTCATAATTATAAGAGTAAGTCTGAAATAAGTTTATGATACTTGGATCTATCCAGAACTCACATCAATTTATTCTATGAACATACTTCGAAAGCAGCCCTAGTAGGTTCTTTTCAAATTTGGTAGAGAGAAGAACTTGGACAATGGAGGTGAGCGTATAATGCGCGTTAGATAAGGGGCCCCTTAAATCTACACCTGGGTCGCAAGTCCCAGGCACTGTTGAAACTCCTCTCACTACAACGATTGACCGGGTGAATACATGGAATGCTATAAGTTTCGTCTCTGTTTTGTTAACAGAGCAAGTATGGAGAGTCGCGTGGGTCTGGACTACATCGTGGAGCATGCGGAGTACGCCGGGAAGCTGGCGGCGGCTCTCATGACGCCCACAGCCGCTGTAAAAAAACAAGTAAGTTACAGTGACGCTACTCATATTATAAATATGGAAGTATCTCATACAGCATACAATAAAAAAACTTGAATATAGTCATTGACAAAAACTAGTATATCATACTTTTGTGGAATTCCAATATTCCTGTTGTTTTAAAATTTACAAATCATAGATTCAGTGAGATCAATCCAACCGCTTCCATAAAATGATAGTTTTTTTTTTTTCTCTCAACCTCCCAAATATTATAGGTGTTTGAACTTCTATCAGCGCTCTGTGTATACAACGCAGATGGATACGCAAGAGCAGTGGACACTCTCGACAGGTATAAGGTAAGAATACAATATTACTCTTATTTTTTTTACTTATAACATTCTTGGAAACATGGACTAAAATCGTTGAAACTTTTTAGACACTGAAAGGAGATCGTTACCGTCTAACGGTCGTAGTGGATGAACTAAAGAATGCTACTACCATTGATTATAAAACAGCCCTAGTAGCATTCGTCAACTGTCTGATAATCTCCGCACCACGATTGCCAGATAGGATTCGAGTCAGGAATGAGTTTATTGGTGAGTTAACGTAATAGTAGTTAGTTAATTACTATTGATTCAACTGTTCTAATATTTGTTTTCTTTGTTTTATCCAGGACTCGGCTTACTCTCTACGCTTAGCAGTTTAAGGTAATAAATATATATCATAATTATATATTGTTGACTATAATAATAAAGTTATGTGCGTGTTATAAAAAAGGTATTTTTTCTTTAATAATATGATCAAATAACTTCGTGACTAAGTCTATATACAATATTTAATATTACACATAAATAATGAATAATTCATATATTGGAATTTATTTTAATATTTTGTTGTTTCCATTGCTGCGAAGTTTTGATATAATAAGGTAAGTAACAAAAATATGCCAAAAATTTTTTCGTCCTAATTAAGTTAAATTGCCATATTTATAAGTAAAACACTACAATACATAGAACTAATTACAACTTCCGGTACAAAGTCCGCGTGCAAAATACTAAAAAGGCATCGAGTGGGCGAATTTGTCTCACCCGATTTGGACACGATGAATAATCATGAACAAAAACACAGCGGCGCGACCGGCGGAGTAAATAAAAAACATATCGACTATTACATTACATTTATTACAGAAAAAAATAAGACGCGGACAAAAAATATACGAGCATGTAGGAACAATATAGTTGTTATCGTTTATAGTCATTTGTGTTTTCTTAGAATATACATATATCTGTTTTGAACGACATTCTTTAACGATTTATCATTTCCTGTTAATTAAATTACGAAAATATACAACTACATTACTATAGCTTTAATTAATCTTCTTAATGTATCAAAAAAAGGTTATTATTCAGGAAAAAACAGAAACCCAATCTATTTGATAGCAATGTCCTTGAAACTTTTCAAAACTAAATGCTTTAGTGTATACTATAATAGTATGTTAAGTATACATGATAGACATGGCCTAATTTTTCTTCAGACATGAAGCTGCTTCTCATCCCAATCTCGGCGTCCAATTGGATGTGTTTGAAGAACAGAGAGAGAGTGATGAGGCTCACGGACCAGGAGGGATCAATCTCAACTCACACCTAGACGTCTTCTACGCTATACTCAAACAGGTAGGACATATTGACAGAGAACACTCCTTCAATAACCGACAAAAATATACACTTTTTTTTACGAATCAATTGTCCTTTGTAAGACTATTTAGACATCACTGATGGTGAAGGAAAACATGAAGAATTAGGACTTATAAGTTCAAATTATAAATTTTAAATTGCCAACACGTCATGAGCAAGCATGGTGATTAATCAAACCTTCTCCATGTGAGAAGAGGCCTTTGCTCAGCAGTGGGCTCTGATAGGCTAATGAGAGAAGTTTGAAATCGCCAATCCACCTTGACCAAGTGTGGTGATTAATCAAATCTTCTCCATGTGAGAAGAGACCTTTGCTCAGCAGTGAGCTCTGATAGGCTGATGATGATACTGTATACATGAAATAACTATAGCTAATCGAAGGTCCTCTATCCCGGAAGGCGCCCATTAAAATCCTGTTCGTGCTAATGAATATTATATTCCATTATTCAGTTTATCTTATCTTTACTTTATTTAATTCAGGTATCAGACACGCCCCAAGAGATCCCGTTCCTCAGTATACTACAACACTTACTCCGAATAGACCCAAAGGAAGCTGTTAGTGATATAGTGTGGGACACAGCGGAGACACTCGTACATAGAGCGACCCTGTTGGAGACGAGGGAAGATGCTGCTAAACTACTACGAGCTCCGAGCGTTCAGGTGAGAGGGGATTGACAAAAATATGTTATACTTCAATACATACATTTATTATGTGGGGGGTTGTATGTTCTTTGACTGTTACACATTTATAAATAGACTTTAATAGGTTGTTTCCATTTTACTTAAATGAAACTAATATGTCTCAGATTATAATTATACTTCGCATATTTTATTACTTTACTTTTCAGCAACCATGATCACGGTAACCAAAACGTCGGGAGTATGTAGTTACAAATAATAAAATACGCAAATCATAATCCGAAATTAATTACAGTAGTAATTTCATTTAAACTAATATACGCGAAATACTTAGATCTCATGTCCATCTTAGTTTTTTTAGCAAAAATAACTCCAGAGTGTTTATCTTTCAGACTAAGATGGTGTGTTCGTGTCAACACCGCGACGCTGGGTCCGCGAGGAAGCAGAGTCTACAGCGAGCTCTGTCACCACCACCCGCGCCTCCCGCGCCGCCTGGTTAGTGGTATCACCATAATATAACACATAAAAAACGACATATACCATACATACATACATACCAACTGACACCCTTATAACTAAAATGCTAGTTGAAGTATCATTGCGAACATCCACTATGCGCAGCTACTATTTTCCAGCTTTACCCAGGGTCTGCGTTAAATGTTGTGAATAGTTTTGGCTAATTGTTTTTAATCCGGCCGCCTGCCTGACATCAACCCTCTTTGGTAACGCATTAATCAGCGATGTCTAAATTCTCTACTAACTTTATTAAGATTACCTTATACCATTTACGAGATATAGAGCATTTCCTTCGAAACTACATACAGTGAATGCACATGAATGATTCTTATATTTCTCATAGGCGTCGTTCCACCTGCAGGGTCTAATGCGCCCCTGCCCCCCTCCCCGCCGGCCCCGCCCGCGCCTCCCGCCCCGCCGCCGGCCCCGCCCCGCATGGTGCCCCCTCCCCCACCCCCCGCGCCGTCCGTGTCCCCCGCCCCTCCTCCGCCGCCCGTGGTGGACGTGAAGCTGCCGCAGCAGGAGACCCCTCTACCGAAAACGAAGATGAAGACGATCAACTGGAACAAGATACCCAACAGTAAAGTGAGTAAATAGATTTTTTCAAAAATATAATAAACTAGAAGACCCGGCGAACTTCGTATCGCCCTATAATCAAGAAATATCTGTTACGTTTTTTATTTATATTTTTGGAGTTTACATATTAAAGCCATAAATCTCCGTGTTTTAAAGTGCGACAGAATGATTGACATATTAGTTAGTTGTCAAATCTAATGTCAAGAAGAAAACGTTTGTATCAACAACTGTACTAATAAATTAAAAATTAATAAAAAAAACATTGTCCAGCGGACAAAATTGTGAATCTAAACCAGATTCCCAGATCCCCTTGAACACACACAAAAAATTTCATCAAAATCGGTCCAGTCGTTTGAGAGAAGTTCAGTGACATACACACTTACAGAAGAATTATATATGAAGATTAATGGATGATGGTGATGTTTATAATGGATTAATTTCAGATCGTGGGCCAGAACAACATCTGGTCGCTGGTAGCGTCGAGTCACAAACACTCGCCCAAGGCAGAGTTAGACTGGACTGAGATCGAGGGGCTGTTCTGTCAACAGGTATATATTGATACTTATTGTGATACTTAAACTCAAACTCAAATAACTTTATTCAATATAGAAGCATTACACTTTCTTATTGATGGTCACTTGAGACACTACCACCGGTTCGGAAAAGAAAATGCCCTGACCTGAGAAGAACCGGCGAAAGAAACATTGAAGATGTATACTTAATAGTATTCTATACAGAGCTACACCTCACTTTTCAGGTTCAGCCGCCCGGGTCCGCAGGCTCGTCCCCTCGTCTGGGGCGAAGTCCCGTGTGTGATAGTTCAGGCGAGAGGAAACCCCGCAAAGAACCTTCGGAGATTACACTCCTGGACGGAAAGAGGAGCCTCAACGTTAATATATTCTTGAAGCAATTCCGCAGGTACCTTACAATAAGAATCTAGCACGATCCAATGATAGGTTCATCTTCACTAATGAGCTTATTTTTAAACGGTTTTATTTAGCTCACCCTGTCTGTTTTATTTATTCTTTATTCTTTTTTCATTTTTCATTTTTCTTGGGTCAAATTTAGTAAATCGAATTTCACCCTCTTCCTGTCAACCGATTAATCTGAAATTTTGTATACACTTTGGATTTTGGTGACAATACAATTATGTTTATTCATTATCATTATAAATTCAAGATGGCCGCCGCTACAAAATGGCTGATAATTTATGTTTTATTTTTTTATATTTAAGTTTAAAAAACTGACTTACAACTAGTGCATACAAAATAAAATCTAAGCTAAACAGAGTGTCATTAAGGCAGTCTTCTGGATGTAAACCTAGCATGCTTAAAACATATCTTGCTTAGTTAACAAGAACAGTACTTGTGAAATTACTAGTCAATTATTTGATTATTACATATGTAGTATTCAATAAAACGATATTAACTTTGTCATGTTTGTATTGTGCTAAGTAGCAAACTGAATGACAGCAATTGACATCATATTATTATTTCACAATATCGAGCAAGCATAACTAATACATAACAACACATTTATGATATTTCCAGTTCCAACGAGGAGATCATACAGATGATACGTGAAGGAGCTCATGATGACATCGGCGCGGAGAAGCTGCGCGGACTCTTAAAGATACTTCCCGAGATCGACGAATGTGAAATGCTGAAATCTTTCTCCGGTGACGTCACCAAGCTAGGGAACGCCGAGAAGTTCCTCCTGCAACTGATACAACTACCCAAGTGAGACATATACCTCATGTTATAGAATTACTAGAAGACCCGGCGAACTTCGTATCGCCCTATAATCAAGAAATATGTTACGTTTTTTATTTATATTTTTTGGAATTTACCTATTAAAGCGATAAATCTCCGTGTTTTGAAGTGCGACAGAATGATTGACATATTAGTTAGTTGTCATATCTAATGTCAAAAAAAACGTTTGTATCAACAACTACTAATAAATTAAAAACTAATTAAAAAAACATTGTCCAGCGGACAAAATTGTGAATCTAAACCATTCCCAGATCTCGTTGAACACACACAAAAAATTTCATCAAAATCGGTCCAGTCGTTAGAGAAGTTCAGTGACATACACACTCACAGAAAAATTATATATATAAAGATGACATCTAAAACAGTTTCATTGACTATATATAAACCAACCTCCCCCAAATAACAAATTTATTCCTGAATGTGTAATATATATTTTCTGTGTTTAGTTACCGTGTTCGTGTGGAGGCTCTTCTATTAAAAGAGGAATGGTCTTCCACGGCGGGCGCTTTGGAGACAGCCGTCAACGCGCTGCTTGTGGCCGGAGATGATCTAATGTCCTCGAGGGCTATACAGGTATCACGGACATACAACATATATATATATACTAGTATATGAAGTACCAAGAATAGTTATAGCAATTGTCGAAATATTTGGCAGACATTGGCATATCAAACATAATTAATTATCATGAGCTTATGAAGGATAATAAAGTTAAACGCGGATTTCCGGGATGTAAAGTAGCCTATATGTTATTCTTGGACGTCAGCTTCCTATATACAAAATTTTATCAAAATCGGTTCAGTCGTTTGAGCGTGAAGAAGTAAAAAAACTTACACACACACTCACAAACTTTCGCAATTATAATACTAGTAGGATGTATTTCTTAACAAACTGGCTAACAGAAATCATCTGGAATTTTAAATTTTTAATTGAGAAATGGTTCAGCATAATTGTCAAGGCGATTACGATATATTAATTGGAAGTTTCACGTTTACATCTCGTTCGTACCTATTTTTTGTATTATATTCTTGTCAATCAGTATAATCACATATATTTGTATATAGGTACGTCTATATCACGATTATATCATACTAAATTATCCTTTTTCCATATAGGAGGTGTTATACATCTTATTAGTAGCGGGTAACTTCTTGAATGCGGGCGGGTACGCGGGCGGCGCGGCCGGGGTGAAGCTGTCTTCACTACAGAAACTCACCGACATACGAGCAAACAAGCCCGGGATGAATCTGATGCACTACGTCGCTATGGTGAGATATACTATGATAGATGTGAAGGACTTATTGGGATTGGAAGAAATAACAAATTTATTATTGTGAGCAATGATAGGATTATGAGGAGGAAAAAAATCGCGTACAAATAAGTTTCAAATAGACGTTTGAAAAGAAACGATTGAAGGAGTAGAAAATATCAAAAAGAATCATTAATTTTTGCAATAACTTTTATTTCGTTTTATTAATCCAAGTATGACAAAGGTAAAAGTATTGTACACTGTTTAGTAAAATAATCATAATTAAATAGAAAACATCTATCGTACTCACGCCATGAGTTTCATAGGTTATTAAACCGTTAAATTAACACGATTCACAGCAAGCTGAACGGAAGAACAAAGAGCTGGTGCACTTCGCTGACGACATACGAGTGTTGGAGGAAGCTTCGAAGGCCAGCGTGGAACAAATACACAACGAAATACACACGCTCGAGAACAGAATACACGCGCTCAAGAGAGATGTGCAGCACACGAGCAGCGACATACGGATACAGACGGAGGAATTCCTACAGGTACCGAATATAGTCACGAAAAAACTATCATTATATACTAAAATATTATGAACTAGCTTTCCGCCATCAACTTCGTCCGCGTGTAGTTCTTTTATATCGCGTTTCCAAGAGAACCTTTCAAAGTCTGGCATAAAAACTATCATGTTCTTTCTCAAGGTCAACTATATATTTGTATCAAATTTCATTAAAATCAGTTCAGTGGTTGAGACGTGACAGACAGACAAACAGAGTTTCTTTAGCATTTATAATATTAGGGATTAGTACCATTTATGTAGGCTTGGGCTAATTCGTCACTAGTTAGCAGAACTCAAATAACTGTCCTGACTTATATAATATACTAAAATAGCAGAACTCAAATAACTGTCCTGACTTATATCACATACTAAAATAGCACATTTTTTTACTAAATTCAACGCCATGGGTAATAAATGTAATCTTGGGCCAAAACTTTATAATCATCTATAATATTCGTTATCAGGTAGCCGAACGTGAAGTGGCAGCTCTGAAAAAAGATATGGAGGAAGTGGAGGGGATGAGGAAACAGTTGGCGGAGTTCTTCTGTGAGGACCCTGTGTCATTTAAACTGGAGGAGTGCTTCAAGGTATGTCACGCATCTTCGTTATAGTGGATGTTATAAACTTTTTTTTTATGTAAAAACGAGCAGACGGCCTACTTGATGGGTCACCGTCGCTCATAGACATAGGCAACCTTAGTTGTTGAGGAAAAGGGAAGGGTGGGAATAAGGAAATAGCAGAAAAGGGTGGAAATAGGGATAGGGCAATCGGTTCTCTCACTCATCTTACGAAATACAGCCATTAATGACTACTTCAGGCCGATCTTCTGTGAGAGGGTGGTACTTCCCCGGTCGAGGCAGACCATGTTCGAGCTGTAGTAACTAAACTACAGCTAATCTCTACCACCTACAAAACTTCTAAACTTATCATTTCCTTATTTCATGTTGTTAATTTAGATATTATTTTTAGACTAACATAATTTTATAAGTAAAAAAATACTAACAAGTGGGCCTATGTTGCACAAATAAAGGAAGAAATTATTATTATTATCATATTATTTTAATATTTTCCAGACGTTCGTATTATTCTGCACCAAGTTCCGCTCAGCCGTCGCTGACAATGAGAGGCGGCGGACCTTGGAACAACAAGCGGCCGCCAGGAATAGGAACAGGAATAAGATACATAAGAAGACCGGGGATGGACTCGGGAATAATGATTTGGGTACATACACTCATACACTTATATATATATATATATATATATAAGTGTATGAGTATATATATATATATATATATATATATATATATATATATATATATATATATATATATATATATATAAGAACTCTCGGCGAACTTCGCATCGCCCTATAATCAAGAAATATCTGTTACGTTTTTTTATTTATATTTTTAGAGTTTACCTATTAAAGCCATAAATCTCCGTGTTTTGAAGTGCGACAGAATGATGGACATATAAGTTAGTTGTCAAATCTTATGTCAAAAAAAACGTTTGTATCAACAACTACTAATAAATTAAAAAACATTGTCCAGCGGACACAATTGTGAATCCAGCGGACACAATTGTGTTACCAGATCCCCTTGAACACACACAAAAAATGTCATCAAAATCGGTCCAGTCGTTTGAGAGAAGTTCAGTGAATAATATATAAAGATATAAGAAAGTGTTAGTTACACTGTTTATAACACAGGAACGGTTATACGGGTTTGACTAAAACTTGGTGGAGAGATAGCTTAGAACAAAGGAAATAGGTTGATCAAATCCATAATCTTGTCTTTATGAAGGAATATAATTCGTCCGGTCAGCTAAAACTAACGCAGACCAAGTCGGGGGCAAACACTAGTGATATACATATTTAAATATTGCAATCAACATACGTCTTGAAAAAAGTGATACTAACTATTAGGAAAGGATATATATATACAACATATATAACTTTCTCCGTCAAGATGTATATCTGTATATCTGTATGTGGTTGTATGTATATGTATGTTCAGTATGTGTTGTTTGTTGTTCTAAAGAAAAGTTATGTTATATATGTATACAACATACTAGCTTTTGCCCGCGACTTCGTCCCCGTGGAATAGTGACTTCCGGCAGATTTTTGGTTCTTCCCACATAGTTCCCGTTCTTGCGGGGTTTTCGGAATAGTCGAATTCCCGTAGAATTTTCAGGATAAAACCTTCGTTTTTTTTTTTATTCACAATGACCACTTAACCAACAACATATTTCTTTGTTTATTTGAATAAAGATTAATATTATTATGTTGATACAACTTAAACAAATTATTTCGACCAAATTAGGTAACATAAAAACGATTTTTGTGAGTTAATCTTAAAAGATAGATATATACTGTCGCGGGATGTTTTTTAGATCATTAAAAGAGCTATTATTCTTTAATACATATTTTTGTGAATCTTGAACCGTTTTCACGGCGCACGCAACGGAAGGCTTCAAAGATGAAATAATTTCTCCCGTTTTTTACACATTTACCACTATATCTTTGCTCCTATTGGTCGTAGCGTGATGTTATATAGCCTACAGCCTTCCTCGATAACTGGACTATCCAAGAATTATTCAATTCGAACCAGTAGTTTCGGAGATTAGCGCTTTCAAACAAACAAACAGACAAACAAACAAACAAACTCTTCAGCTTTATAATATTAGTATAGATATATCTTTCTGTCAAGATGTATATCTGTATGTGCTTGTATGTATGTATATATTCTGTATGTGTGTATGTGTTGTTCCAGGTGGTAGTGTGTGCAGTACTCCGGTGTCAGAGAGCGAGTCCCTCATGGAGTCTCTGCTACTGGACATCAGGAACGGTCTCGGGAGACGCTCGCTGAGGAAACAACACGAACCATCACCATCACCTGGTAGGATGATGTGTTACAACATAAACATAGTGAATAGATAGATAGAATATACTTTATTGTACACCACAAACAGAAAATTTTACTCGGAAAAAAATATATAAATTGGAATGTACAAAAAGGCGGTCTTATCACTAAGCAGTGATTGTACTTATATATACAACTTGGCTATTACAACAGGATTTAATTATAATAATAAGATGAAATTAAATAGCTTCTAACGTCGTGATCAGCCTATTAGAGAAAACTGCTGAGCAAAGGCTTTTTCTCACATGGAGAAGGTTACTGCAATGGCTACTTTATATATATCAAAATTTAAGTCATACTCTTGTAACATGTTCGTGTATACACGTTAACCCCTCCCCCCTCTCTGTACCGGTAGACGCGACCCCCCCCGGTAGTCTCCGTCGTCGTTCCCGCGCGTCCCCGGACGAGGACGGCCTGATGGAGTTCCTGAGGCAGGCGTCACCCGCAGGAGACGAACACAGAGAGAGGAGCGCCTGGGGCAGTCTGGGTGAGAGGCAGTCTTGACTTATTACCTATAAAACAAAACATTGAACAAATACTTGTAGCATGTACGATACCTTGCAATGCAAAAACAAAATTTTTACTGTTGAAAAGACATGGAAATAAATCGATACCTCCCACGTAAATTGTTGTAAGCCACAAATATGCTATTTTGCTTCATTTCGAAAAATATCCTATTATGAATCATTACTTCCATTCAAATTAAAAAAACAACAAAAACACTATTCTTAAAGGATTAGTCAGACGCATAATGTTATAATTTTCAAAAGCGAACGGATCAAACTGATGTTTATGCCTATGCAACTGTATACGCGGGGCGCGAGGTGGGTAAAATCATGCGCTCACACCGCGTATGAGTTACATACAACAGAGTAAGACTTATGTTTTTCAACGGATACAGTTGTAACTATCATAATAATACCACAAGTCATGCTATCATATCGCTGCAAATAGGCATATTAATTAAAACATCTTTTAACGTAGTTAAATTTAAATACGAAATTTTAAAAAGATGCATCAATAAATGCAGATTTTGGTTTGATTTGAATCTTTGAATATCTCTACTGTAAAATTACACTTTTGGACATACAACTTACGTGGAAGGTATCGATATATAGGAATTAATTATATCAGAAGCTTCCTTCAATATACTATGTGTAATTATTCCTCTGTTATACAGACCGCTCGTGGTCCCGGCGCGCCCCGGTGCGTGCTCGCCTGGAGCTGCCGGACAGAGAACGAACACCCTCCGCAACCACGCAACCATCAACACCCTCAGACAACCCTAAACCCAAGTAAGTACATACTCACTCTTTGGCCTATAGAGAAAAAACAATGTTGACTTCCTTCTTCCTATAATAATACTATTTGGTGTTCTTGGTATTTTAAAGTTTTTATAAAACTAGAAGACCCGGCGAACTTGGTATCGCCCTATAATTAAGAAATATCTGTTACGTTTTTTTTTATTTATATTTTTGGAGTTTACCTATTAAAGCCATAAATCTCCGTGTTTTGAAGTGCGACAGAAAGATTGACATATAAGTTTGTATGGGTTTGATACCACACACCCTTTAGATATGATAGTTTTATGGAGACCAGCAAGTTTGTGAGTATCGCGTTTAGGTAATGAGAACGACCTGTTTATTTGAACGCTTTATTGATACTGACTAAATTATGACAATGCTTACATTTATATATGCTTATTAATGTGTACGTACAATAAAATTATGTTAATGTATGGGTGAACCCATACATACTCCCGACAGGAAGAAATACAAAGAAAAACTATAAATGTTATGAAAGTATACAAATTATGGTATAAAATAAGATATAAGTAATATTTAAGAAAACCAAAAAACTTATATAAAATAAAGATAAAATGAGACAATATTGATAATAATTAAAACTTTACAAGCTTGAAGTGTCTATCATTATGCTTGCATTATTTGACCTATTGCACTTGGTACACATCGGCGATGTTGCTTTGTTCACATAACGCGCACTACGGAATTCACTGCACCTTTCACTATAGCTCGACGCCGTCGGTGGCGCCTCTGAAGGCACTGCCACCCCAGCTCGCTCCATCTTCGCCGTCTGCGCCGCTGGCCCAGGCTGGATCGGCCTACGAAGACGCCTCCAGCCGAATAACAGCGCAGCAATTACTATTATGCTGACGCAAATATATATGGCAGTATAATGATGTACGTCATGAAACGTTATTCTGTCTAGTAAAGGTTCAGTTTTCTTCAAGACTTCCAATTTGTTTTCAATGCTCTTAATTTGCATTTGAATCTCAGAAGAGTTGGATAATGTTAGGGTTGGTATTGATATATTTATAATATGATTTATTGGTGCTATCACCGGTACAAATATCTGTGCGTTTAAGTGCATTTCGCTTGATTTTATGTTATGTGCTAATAACGTAAAATACTCTGACTTAATAGTACAATCTCTGTCTACGGTAAATATGCCAGCGCGCGTAAGCTTATGAGTCGTAATTTGATCACCACATATAGATCTCAGCTGACATTCGTTTCAACAAAAGTAAATATATGCGTTTGGAGAATAACTCTCAATCCAATGATCTTTGCATGTGGTTATAGATACTTTGCATTCTGATGTTTCAATTTGGCAAAATTCCTTGTCACTCTTTATGTTATAGATTGGGCTACTTATGTGATATAAATAATTATCAAAATTTATGCATGAATTGATAGTGCTCTGAGATAAAGTTATATAAGTATCCCCTTTCAAGTTAATTGCTACATAATTCGATAACGGTATAATGCTAATCATGTTATTTTCCTTTCTATTAGGTATTGGAATAATACGAAATATTTCATATGTGTCTCTAATTACCAATGGTATTCTTATCTCTATTATTAAATATTTTTCTAATATTCTTGCTCTCGATTGAATCAATTTATAAATTTTATTTGTTTGGGTATGTATATTGGGTATAGGCAAGGTGACGTCTTTATATAGTTGACTAGCTATGTTACTAAGTTGCTCTCCCAACTGCTTAGGTGTTATTAAATGTGGGTTGAATCGACCATGATATATATCTGTAATGGTGTCTAGTAACGTACTCTGTAAATTTTTTAGATTATTAAGCATGTTACTTCCGATGACAGCTCCTGCGAGCATTTCATTAATTATTGTTATATTTTGAATTTCTGATTGAAACGTATTCGTCGATTTATCCAATAAATTAATGTGCTGATTAATCATTTTATACTGCTTGCTAATTGTGCTCTCCACGCGCTTAAGAACGTTATTTTCAGCTTCAATTATAGAAGTTTGATTTTTCCAGTATGATGCTAAGTTTAATTGGTTAGTACGAAGTAATGTGATATCTCTTTCATATTGTTCTGCGAATCTTGAGTCCAGTACTCCGAACAGGCTATTTGCAAGATAGCCGACACCGTTAATAAGACCTCGCCGCAGCCTTGCCGACGAAGACAAAATATGCTGACCAAGTAACAGCTGATTGTAATATTCCAGTTCGTCGCACCCGTGACCTAATTGTAATAATAGTAACTCGCATCGTGTTTGCGTTCTTATTGTTTTGCAGGTTTGTTCGAGTGATTGTTTATACTTATTAATGGCTGCTATTCCTTCCCAATAAGGTTCCATATTGTAATATAGAATAAGTTTCCAATCGTCCCGTATTATTTGCATATTTCCAAACTTATCGAAGTATAAACCTTGATTGTCTCTAAATTTAGTTATATTTGAAGTCGAATATGTGCTGGATATAGCGATCATGAAGAAAAGCAAAGTCATGATCGTAGAACTGAGTCCCCGACGAGTTGTTATTCTTGTTTGTTTTTTCAGTAATTTTCTTTCTAAATATCCAAATTGAGCTACGGCCTTAGTTTTAGAATTTCCAAGATCTTTTTCAAAATTCGATTTTAAAGGAATTCTTACTTTATATTTGCCATCAGTCAGCCGTTCCGTTGTCGTTTTATAAAATTGAACACATTCCAAATCGTCTGATGATAATGATGACTCTTGCTCTATATCCTCAATTTCCCAAAATTTTCTTAAGTCGTCCATATTGGTTTGCACTATGTTACAATGATATGAGGTGGCACTTCCGCTCAGAATCCACCCAAGTTGCGTTAAATGAGCTGTAGGTTGCATCGTTTCTTCCCCTTTGATAATACCGTTTAATATAATATTTGAATATATATCAGCTCCTAGTAAAATATCAATCGATCGAGATATATTAAACTGTGGGTCCGCTAACTGAATGTTTTTAAGATAATCCCATGATGGAGTCTGAAAAGATCTATTAGGTAGATTTTTAACGAGATTGTTCATGATAAAGGTATTAACTGAGAATGTAAAATCGTTGTATAATGATTGACAGGACAATGTGACTCTGCCTTTACAATGTTGTTCCCTTTCTCCTACTCCGTATACAACTCCTGGGTACTGAGTTCTTTTAAGCGATAATCTCTGCGCTGCGTTCTCAGTAATTAGGGACAATTGACTACCCTGGTCAATAAGAGCTCGCATGGTTAATTGAGTACCATCTGATGCTGTGACTTTAATCAAGGCAGTTGCTAAAAGAATTTCCGATATGTCGCCTTGTGAAACATTAGAAGCCTTTGTTGCGTCATTTTGTTGTTTGTTAGTCAATGGCCTACTTTGGGCAACGGTGTAAAATTTCGTACCGTCATGCAATAACGAATTATGTTTTCCATTACAAATTAGGCAACGTTTGAAAGAATTGCATTGTTTTCCATTATGCTTATATAAACAATTAGTGCATAGATCCAATTCTTTTGCCCTTTTGAACCTCAATTCAACAGGCATTGCTAAAAACTTTTCGCAATTAAAAATTCCATGTCCGTTGTTATTGCAAAATTGACATTTGATACCTGCTACATGTAATGATTTTACAAATGATTTATAATTACGGTTTGAATTATTACCGTATGAATTATAAAAATCAGACCATATTTTGCTATTAATTGACTTTTTTATGTCACTATAAATCTGTTCGTAGTTTGTAAATCTTTCTTCGTATGCTTAATTTGAACCTTCCAACTCACTATCTAGCTCCCAATGTAATGAATCTATTACTGCCCACCTACTTTGTATAGTGTTGAGCAAATCTTCGTACTCCCATTTTTCCTTTAAAGTATCTACATTTATGTTCCTTATTGTACGCTGGAATGCTCTAAAATTACTGTATTGCTTTTTTTTAACATGTCGTCCGTTTTGCTATTAACACCCTGATGTTTTTGAGGTGTCGAATAATATTCAACCGACGTACCAGGCCTTTCTGATATACCCTTATAGTTAATAATCATTTGCTTAGTATTTTTATAGAGATTTTCAGTTTTATCATAATGAAATTCAGTGAAATAATGATCACTCCTATCTCCCTTTTCGCTTAATATTAAATGATTGTTTTGGTATTGAACCCAATATGAATCAAGGCTTTCGATTCTTCTTTTAATGTACTCATCTGTTTTACGCTCTGCGCTATCCTTTTTGAAATTAGACGCAAGTTTTTGAATCGATATTTGTATCTCATTCTGCTTTGCTATGATATCCTCCATGTTGAGGAAAAATTAAAATGAAATTGAAATAAAAGGAAAGATCTCACTTGTTGTGACCGATGCTATCCTCGATGCTGCGCTGAACACTGTGTGTTCGATGACGCTATGCTCGCTGCTATGCTCGCTGCTATGCTTGATGCTGTGCTGAATAACTCTCAGCTCTGATAATATGCTTGCTGCTATGCTTGATGCTGTGCTGAATAACTCTCAGCTCTGATAATATGCTTGCTGCTATGCTTGATGCTGTGCTGAATTACTCTCAGCTCTGATAATATGCTTGCTGCTATGCTTGATGCTGTGCTGAATTACTCTCAGCTCTGATAATATGCTTGCTGTTATGCTGTTTACTATACTGGCTCCTTATGATGTTATGATATTATGCTCGATGTAAAACTGCTATGCTTGATGCTGAATGATTGTCACATAAAAGTGGATATAAATCGCCTGACGGTCACTGTTCCACACGTTAAAGTCAATCGCCGTGCGACACGTGGCCTTAGTCTCGCACTTTGACCAACCCGTGCGTATGGTCAATGTACTCGGAGGATGGATAATCCGCGAGTGAAGTTGCTCGAAGGACCAAAACGATGTATGGTTGGATCCGGCTCGAAGGACCAAAACGATGTATGGGTTTGATACCACACACCCTTTAGATATGATAGTTTTATGGAGACCAGCAAGTTTGTGAGTATCGCGTTTAGGTAATGAGAACGACCTGTTTATTTGAACGCTTTATTGATACTGACTAAATTATGACAATGCTTACATTTATATATGCTTATTAATGTGTACGTACAATAAAATTATGTTAATGTATGGGTGAACCCATACAAAGTTAGTTGTCAAATCTAATGTAAAAAAAAAAACGTTTGTATTAACAAGTACATACTAATAAATTAAAAATTACTTAAAAAAACATTGTCCAGCGGACAAAATTGTGAATCTGAACCATTCCCAGATCTCCTTGAACACACAAATTTTTTTTTTATTAAAATCGGTTCAGTCATTTGAGAGAAGTTCAGTGACATACACACTCACAGAAGAATTATATACAGGGTGACTGGTGAATTACTATCAATATTTAAGGAGCATACTCGGTACATGATTCTCATTCGAATTATGTAAAAAAAATAGGTACTTAATTTTTGACAAAATTTCCGTATAAATAAATAAAGTGTTGACACGTTCCAAGTGTTCCTAGTGTGGACGCGTACGGCGGCGTGCTGATACAAAACCACGCCCCCGCTGCGTATGTGTGAGTGTGTGTGTATACCTAATCTGTAGGGTGTTCACACGATGCGTAATTAATTACATAACTTTTGGTTAACTTTACTTAGAAGTTTATTAATATTTATGTTATATTAATTTTTATTTTGTCATATATGGTCGTCAACTACCACGTCCTCAAATATCGATAGTAATTCACCAGTCACCCTGTATATAAAGATATATGTAGTTTATTTGTAGTCTGGCATAATACATGTAAAAAAGTATAGTGACTACATATTTTTGTTATAGGGAGTGGCGTCAGAAGATCGAGTCGTGGCTCCGTGCGAACAGTGAGGAGGAGCGTCGCGCGCCCTCCCCCGCGCCCGCTGCCCCCGCGCGGGCCCGCTCACTCAGGGTGCTGCATCGGCGCTCCTTGGAAAACGACTCCGGTAACTTGAAATGTTTATAATATAGACGAAATATGTTGTAATAGTGGCCAACTGTCATCACACCTAATGGTTAATAGATGTTCATCGTAGAGAGTGATAGAGATCTACTATGCATTAATTCCATCAAGTCCATAAAATTGTTACGCACGTGAGTGCTCAGAACAAAGCGGGTAAAGTTAAGGGTCAAGGACTTCGGAGTACCCTAAAACAGAAAGTAGTCAGTGTTCTCCAAGGATATATTTTGGAGTTGGAATCAACGTGAAAATACTCCTCGTACAAAAGTACACACGATTGGCTCAGAATATCTTTTAAACTTAACTTTATACGCATCGGTCGTAAGTTAAACGAATGCGACTCTACAACTGATCTGAGTTAATAAAGCACCCAATAATATGTAGCAGGTTTATATATGAAGCTATCATGAAGTCCAGAAGACCATAGACAATTGAGGAACCATAAATACTACGACTGAAATTACAGGGACTAGGATAAGCTTAGAAGTGAGGTTCATAAAGATAAGACTTGTAATCAAAATTATGTCAAAGTTTCAGATATTGATAGTCTTTCTCCTTTATTCTGTGGCGTGCGCTAGATCATCACTAGACTTTATTAGGTTATATTTATACTGAGGTAGCTGACTGAGAAGATATACGGTCCATGCTGTTATAGAGTATCGAAAAATATCAACTTCATCTGTGATATCACAGCTATTTACATTCGCATCGTTTAAATCAGTTGATACTCCTTATACTATTAATAAATACTAAATGAAATCAACCTTTCTCTTCAGAGAGCGAGCGCAGTACACTGGACACGCTGACGGAGGGCGGCGCGGCGGGAGGGGAGAGGGGCTGGAGACCCGCCGTGCCCACCGACACTGACCTCGTGAAGGCTATAGAGGTCGTGGAAGGTGAGTAACACACACACACACACACACACACACACACACACACACACACACACACACACACACACACACACACACACACATCTATGTACTCAGACGAGTAGTAGTCACCGCATTAATATCTACTAAATAATCATTATTTGTTTATATCACCAGACGTTCAGCCGAAGACGGTAGAGAACAGAGTACCGTGGAGGAGGACGGAGGAGAACGAGGAGATACGGAGACTGAGGAGACAGAGATCACGACCAGCGGTGGACACACAGACACTGGTGGCCATTAGGGAGGAGAGGAGGAGGCTGCCACACATCACGCTCACCGGGGACACGGGGGACGCGGAAAATGCAGGGTCCTCGACCGGGGAGAGGAAGATGTACAGTCCACCGACTGACAGGGAGCCGTGTAGGAGACTACTACCGGCCATCACGAACAACAACGAGAAGACGAGCGGGGAGATGAAGGAGCTGTGTCACGAGATACTGGGGGACGGACAGTTTGACAGGTTCTCAGACGCGAGGAGGACACGGAGATACAAGAGGAGCACGGAGGAGGAGAAGAGGAGCCCGGAGATAGAGACACAAGTGACACGACCTGACACACTGGACGTACAGGCGGTGTATGGGAAGGAGGAGAAGGAGGTGACACCCGCGGAGGACACGGAGAACAGACTGAAACGATGGCAGGAGAGACTGAAGGACAAGGACAAGGATAAGGCGCCCGCCAGGATGAGGAGGCAGACATCTATCAACCAGGAGGACGTGCAGAAGGCTATCAGGGAGCTGAAATCACCCACACAGACACCTGCCCGGCCCTGGACCAGGAACACCTACAGGAGGTCACTGAACTCTAAGACGGACAGGGCGCCGCCCACCGGCCCCGCCCCCGGCACACACGAGAGAACCACGACCCCGAGGATCACGAAGGTTAAGAGCGAACACGAACTGAACGACGAGGGCTTCGAGGAGACGCAGAGCCTGAACTCGGAGAGCGCCTCGCAGGGAGCGGGCTCGGGCTGCGGCGGGGACTGTGAGGCGACCGCGACCACCAAGAATACAGACACCCCAAAGAAAATAACTACCAAAGACACTCGGCCGCCCCCGCGGACCCCGCTCGACCCGCGGCGCAGTCTCCCGCGGCGGCCGGCCGCTCTCCGTGTGGAGCGCTCGGCCTCCCGCGCGTCCCTCAGGAGCTCCCGCAGCTCCTTGAACAGCTCGGCGTCCGTGGCCACCGTGAAGCGCGCGCCCTCCATCAAGCCCGTGCCCAAACCAATCCCCAAGCCGGCCCCGCGGGTCCCGGCCTCCCGCTCCTCCTCCAGCGGCAGCTCCATCGGCACCTCCAGGCCCAAAACCGACAGGACCTCCGGCTTCATGAGGCCCACACAGGCCTCCAAGGTCCGGGGGACCGCGGCCAAGACGAGCGCCAAATGAGATGCTGGATGTGACCTATAGGACCGAGGCCGAGGCTTGCGATGACTGAGATGTAGGATAAGTCTTACCGCAGATCTGTTAGATAAACGTAGAGTATATATAAGGTGTGGGGCCCGGCCCGCGCGGACTGTGACGCGTGTGTTTATGTAGTATTCAGTGTATCGTGTATGTTACGGGTATGAGGCGCGTGCTGATCGGTGATTTTTCATATTTTTTTTTTTAAAAAAGTCTCATTAATCCCGGTCCGCGCCCTCGCGAGTCACCTCGTATCTTTCCGTCCTGTTTCTCCTCTCAGTATTCTAAACACTTCATCATCAGTAACACGAGATCTGATTTTTATATGTTCGTAATGTTAGTGTAATGTCACGTCACAACCAACCACAGCTCCTAGATGTAATTCTTAACAGATATTATTATAAATGTTTATTTTTACTAAAATATACATTAAATTCATATTCGACGAAACGATCTTTTATTTGTTAATCACTGACGTTCCCAGAGGATGGATAAACTTCACGAAATAAAACTGTATATATACATCGTATAATTTAATAATTCAATACATAATATAATGATGTAGTTCTTCCTCCACACTCCGCGTATCACAGCAGCAGGTTGTCCACTAGCTCCCTCACCAGGTCCGCCATCTTGCGGCGACACGCGGCGTTAGTCGTCATCACGGGACGGACACACGCCTCCGAGGAGGACTCGCTCTCCTGACACACACACACACACACATATATATATATACAACCTTTATATATAATACACACATACTTTGAATTTTTCTTCTATCAAGTCGACAAAGTTTCAAACAAACATCGATCAGTGTCAACATATGAAACTAAACTTCAAAACCTATCGAATCTGAAGTTTAGTTTCACTCGTTCGAACGAAACGATTTTTTTATTGAAATACGAGTATAAACGAATAAATGAGTGATCTTATAAAGAATCAACAAGGGTTGATATTTATAATTCTTTGGCGATGCAAGTTACGTACGAGACATTACGTAGAAACTCTGAAGGTTCCTACATTAGTCGTCATATAAAACGTTGTATTCTACTTGTATAGCTATAAGTACAGTGTATTCTGTGAGACCTTGGCCTGGTAGAGGTTGGGAGCCTCGTCGGAGTCGCAGGTCATGATGGGACACATGTCCAGCGCCAGACCCAGACCGAACCGACTGCTGCTACGAAACTCCTGCTGGACCCTGGACACACACATACTATATACACCATACAACAATGTATTTTATCATAACAGGCAGACCGTTACCAATCTTCTATATATTTAAAAATGGATTGCTGTTCCTTAGTCTCGCTAAAACTCGAGAATAGCTGAACGGATTTATCTTATCTTAGTCTTAAAATGTTCGTGGAGGTTCAGGGAAGGTATAAAAGCTGAAAAAAATTTATTCATTACTGGGAAAACCATAAAAACAGCCCTTTTCTATTTCCCATACAAACGTTTTTTTGTAATTAGATTTGACAACTAACTAATATGTCAATCATTCTGTCGCACTTCGAAACACGGAGATTAATGGCTTACAGGTAAACTCCAAAAATATAAATAAAAAAACGTATGTAATAGATATTTCATGATTATAGGGCGATACGAAGTTCGCCAGGTCTTCTAGTAATATATAATTATTATTAAACTCTACATCAAATACATTCTTTTGGTGGATGTTTTTATTATTTTTTAACTAATACCAATCTCAGTATATCTTGGCATATTTAAAACAAGCAGGACTTTTATCACATCTGATGTATGAAAGTGTACGAAATGACTAAAGACTAAATTTTGGTCTTCTAGAGGTAAAATAGGTTGGAGGGATGAAATCTAGTGCTTTTTAAAACATTCTTTATCACAGACTCTTCCCAACCTATCCTCTGTTACTCCATACCTCCATCAATTCTAAGCACATTTTTCTGCCTTACAATAAAGTGCAGATTATAAGTAGGTCAAGTAGAGGTAACGATAGGAATTGAAGATAATTTCCTGACCTAGATACTTACATATCGAACAGCGTCTCCTTGTCCAAGGTGTCCCCGTTCATGAGAGTGAGAGTGGAGTGAAGGTTGTCGCTGTAGTATCGCAGGAGGTCTGAGAGATGCTGAGACCTCTGGGACCTCTCCAGACAGAGGTATAGGAGGAGGGCCAGGTCTAGACCTGGAGACGCGTAACGAGCGAGCTGGAAGTCAACTATATACATCTGGAACATAGAGTTATTCATAAAGATATTGCTTTCTTCCCTAGGGAAAAAGACTACATAGATACAATTTTAAAAGAAGAGCAACACGAGGAAAAATATTATAAATATTATTTGGTGTAAAGTAACTTTAAGATTTTGTTATCTATTTTAACGACAAATATCACTTAAAAATAGCTTTACAACGTCTAATGAATAAACTAATAGCAAACATCTCACTCATCTCGTCCACGTATTAAAACCTATACGAGCAATATCTTCTATGTAACGTGTATTTTCACTGACCCCTTCAATTTGTCCATTTTCTACTTTAAACAAGAAGTTATTAGTCCAGCAGTCTCCGTGGCAGATGACAGCCAGCGGCTCCCTGGGCGCGACCAGCTCCACCATCGACTGAAAGAACGTCTCCTCGCTACAGAACCTCTTGAACGGCTCCAGGTACTTGTCTCTGTCAGGCGAGTCCTTCAGTTCCTCCTCCACCATAGAAATCGCGTTCCTGATGGCCTCCTTATAGTAATTCCTGTAGTACTCCTCATTTTCCGGCAAAAAGAATACTATGAACATTATTGTAGAATTTAATTCATTTAATATTAATTATGAAGAAATAAATAACTTAATCATTTTTACCTTCCGATATGCCGTCTTGTATATTGACGAGATCGTAAAATCCTTCCGGGTCGTAATATTTCATAGCGAGTGACAGAGCGTGGAAGTGCGACAGTTGTTTCAACACGTAGTAACACTGATCAATGGTGAGACCCTTCCTTCGATCAGGCATCGCATAACCCAACAGTTTCAGGTCTTCCAAAATGACCATATCATTTTGGGCCCAGTAACATTTGGGTATACAGTCCAAGGGGTCGGTGACTTTCTCCCACTGGCTCTGGAAGTTCGTGAAGGCGGGCCATATTTTATTGTAGAACGCTACCTCATTACAGAACAGCTCGTCACTTTTGAAGGCCTCCCTCCGTAGAATACTCTCCGGCAGACACTTGTACATGATGGATCCCTCCCACGCCTCGTATATCTCAGTCTTCTCGTCTTGGTCCGTCCGCTGACGGACTCCTTTTAATGTTATTCGGTACACCATCGAAGTGTAATTATCACCTCTCTTTGAACCCGGAGCTCCCTGAGTTAACAAACATTTGAAATGTTGTCATGCATTATTAAATAATGATCCGGAAACCAAAATAGATATGTAGATACAGTAAACATTCGATTAATATGGCTGAATTAGATATCGTTTAAATGAAACTAGTATATTCAGATTACTATGCGTATAGTATTATTTTTTAAAAACTACACAATTCCGACTTTTCACTTACTTTACAGCAACCGTGATCAAGGCAGATGAGATGAGAAGAACTATATTGTATATAGTCATAAAGATTACAGAAAACTTATATTAAACATGCCGGTAAACATATATTAATAAATGTTTATAGAAGGTGAGTGCGATTCCCACTATAACAAAACTTTCCTCCTAAGGTATGTATGAAGTATTCTAATGAGGAGGTGAGTATGAAGTATTCTAATGAGGACGTGATCCGAAGGAATTAGTACAACAATATCTAGTGTATTTTAATATAATTTCATTATTATTGTACAAGAATTAATATTAAGTGAAACGGAACGTAGTACGAGTTGAATATTTTTAATAAAAATAAATTTATTATTACGTTGCTACAAATGTGAGGGATAGAGAAGCTATTGGAAAAATTTTAGTATATTTAAAGTTGTAGTCACGTTTCTTCTAGTTTTACTCGATATTTTGAAAATGTAAAAAATAAAGATTTTTTTCTTTTAATAAAATTATCTAACAATCTCTTCTTAAAATTCCTACAACTTCTTTTACTTGAGTTTTGTGACACGACTAGCCTATATTTGATATACTTTCAACAAAAAGGCTCCACATAATTTCGCTAAAATTATTCTAGATCAGGAAGGACATCTGTAATAATAGTAAACTCTCTAATGACTTTTTCAGTAAAATTTCTGCCTAAAATAAAAATTAGTAGCAATGTAAACCCTCACCTCCATTTCTTGTATCTTGACATCGGGATAATCTTTTTTCAGCAGATCTTGAATGAATTCCAAACTGATGGATGTCATGTTGGTGCCGCCGTCCGACCAGGGGCCTGACTGAATCTCTGTAGGTGGAAGTATTTCGTGACACTACCGGTATCAATAACTACAGCCGCTCGTTGACTGATTTTTAACAATAAACGTGGATAACTAACAGTAGAGTCATTTTCAAACACATCACTTGACTGTCTAAGCATTATTATTTAAAGATATCGCACTATCTAACAATACACGAAGTTATTTCTACAATTCTATTTTATGGAGACTTGTTAACCATGTAACCATATTTTTTTTTAATTATTAAGTATTTTTATGTGTAATGATCGAAAAAACGTGAAAGAATAATAAAATGTGAGGTTCTAATTTAGTCTTTAATAATGAGCGGTAGAATGAACTTTTTATAAATTAGACAATATTTTAGGAGCACCGTATGGTCATCCTTCACATGGGTGTCTCATTATTAAATTGTTACAGTCGTGGGGTCGTTTAGATTGAATAATAACTTAGTTGCATCGCTACGGGCGTGCTTACCGTGATTGGTGCAATTTCCCGTAGGTATTTGATATTCAAAATTATAATAATTTTGTTATTTATAGCATATTAATTTGAAAAAAAAATATTCATTCATTATTTAAAGTGTATTTTTTAATAAATGCTTGATAAGTAACTTTAAATTTTTTTTACGTTTAATAAGAAACATTTATTAATTATGACAGTATTCAAATTCGCCGTAAAATGGAACGTTTTTGATTTCTTAAGAAAAAATATTTTGACATTTCCCTCCATAATGTAAAGGAAGAACGTTCGAATATCGTTATAGTTAAAAAAAAATGATATTGTGAAAAATTATTTGATTATAATGTGTTATATATTTAAAAATAAGTTAGGGACAAAATTCTACTTCATACATATTCTCTTGTAATGGGACAATCTCTAATGTTTAGTACTTAGTAAAATAAAATTTTATATATTCTCTTATTTATGAAATCAAAACGTCAGGTATTAGGTGCTTCCGAACGTACCTCCGAGAATTCATCTGACAGTTGAAACAGCTGTGATAGTATTGAAATTAAATTTTCTTCGTTAATTTGAGGAAGTAAATGTTTAAGAAGATTTGTAATATATGTTAAAGTTTTAAATACGAAATGCCGGTTGATCAAATACAATACTCAGAACGTTACAACGACGATGTATATGAATACAGGTACTATCAGTGTTCACAGATACATCGCATGTATTGTAAAATAAATGTTAGATCGTAATTTTATCATCTCTTTAATTTCTTTATTTTGAAAAAGCTTAACAATTTTACGTTTTGTTATCTTTTAATCTGTTCAGCTTGATTTTTTTTAACTCAAATTGGCTTCTTCCCATCAACTCCTGCCTTTTTAGAAATAATTTAAACCAAAAAAAAATCTTTAATTATTATACCATTTTAATTGCAGACACGTCATCCTTCCTCCCGACATCGCCAGACTGGTTCCCAAATCTCACCTCATGACGGAGACAGAGTGGCGGAACCTGGGCGTCCAACAGAGCCCCGGCTGGCTCCACTTCATGGTACACAACCCTGAACCCCACGTACTATTATTCAGGAGACCTCGAACAGACATTCCCACTCCCGTCAATGGTCTAGATGTGACCACTTCTTCAACCGTGAAAGTATGAATGTAAAGATATTTATATAGGGCATGATACTGTACGAGTTGATGTTATATTAAATATAAACACAGATTGTAAGAGCAAGTATAACTTATTTATATTAAATGTTTAAGAATTATATACAGAAAATAAATAAACATTGAAATTCTTTTAGTATGTAAATGACATTCATTACCCCATATGATTTATGTAATCAGTTCATTTTACAATATTATTGATTTCATCTTCTTCTACCTGGCAATTTCCCAGCTTTAGCCAGGCATTATATTTTATATGATATGTAAACTATTGTAAAAATAACCTTTTTTTTTCAATATTAAGACTATTGAAAAAAAAAGGTTTAAAAGGTTTAAAAAATTAGCACTAATTGTAAAATTTGTTAAATATTAATGTGTTTAACCAACTTATTATATGATGTATTTTGTTGTCAGTGATAACTACAAAGTATATAAAATGCTTTCTAATACAAGGTCTCCTTCGACACGGCTGTCTTTGTTGTCTAAGAGCACAACAGTTCATGTGTTGTGGCCCCGGACTGAAGAGTGTGTGAACTTATATGAATGAATGTTCATTATATTTATATTTTTAACTATGGAGCTTCATAACTATATTGTTAATAAATATTTTATATAATTTAAATAAACTTGTGTTTTTTTTTTTAACTTGTACCATATGCAGTGATAAATTATTATATGCAGTATGTTGTAATTACTGTCCCGATTGCTTCAATAAGTTATTTTTATTTCAATTTTTTTTACACTATATTTTTTTCCTGTGTTTCTAAATAAAATAATTATATATTTTATGTGCTTGGAGATAATATTTTCACACATTAATCCATTTATACTTATAATAAATCTGTAGAAAGATCAATTCTGTACATAAAATATATTTAAAAAATAACTAACAAGGGGTGGTTAGGGATTGCTAGTGATGCCAAAAATGCAATCAGTAAAATTTTTGTCTGCCTGTCTGTATATTCGTTATGGAAATAAAAACTACTCGACGGATTTTAACGAAATTTAGCACAATTATTCTTCATACTCTTGGGCAGGTTATAGTATACTTTTCATTACGCTACGATAAATAGGAGCAGAGCAGTGAAGGGAAATATTGGGAAAACGGGAGAAGTTACTCCATTTTTTAAGCTTCCGTCGCGTGTGCAGGCTTATAGGTTAAAGCTACAATGAAGTCATGTATGACGGAAATATTCTCCTTAAAATTATATAAAAAGTATTCCTCGACGGCATATGCCTATCTTTTATTGTTGACTCACAATAACTCGTGAAATAGTTTATTTTTAGTTTTGTTTTGTTGTTATTTTATATTATGATAGGAATTAGTAGTTTTGGTAGTGTTTAAATATATTATTAGTTTTCATTTTATTACTTTATAAGTGAAGTAGTAGTAGGTACGCATATTAGTTATCTTTGCTAGTATTATAAAGAGGAAAGTTTGATTTTTTGTTTGTTAGTCTCGAATAGGCTCCGAAACTACTGTACCTACCGATTTGAAAAATTCTTTCACCGTTGAAAAGCTATACTATCCTGGAGTGACAGTGGCTACATTAAGTATTTAAAAATTTGGGTTGGGTTGTAAAAAATATACCAACTAAACTTTCTTTAATCGCGAACGCTCCGAAAACGATTCAAGATATAACAACGTGATGTACTGCAATTTTGTAGAACTTATCATTATCTGCAAAGAACGTCGTGACATCATATCTCTAACTATTATAGTTTTGTCACAATAAGCGTTTTTTTATGTAAAAAAATAATTAAAATACCACTGCTCGAAAAGGCTCTTTATTAATCCTTATCAAAATAAATGATTTATTATTTAAGATCGTTTCAAAACCTTTATATAACTTTTTGAATTATGTATTAGATAATACATTATTATGTATTATTATACATTCCACTCAAAAGATATCACGAGTTAAAAATTTTAACCGCTAACTATGCCTTGCAGAGTTGTAGGCGTCACTCGAGCACTGAGGCACGGGAGGGGGGTTAACATCACGAAATAATATCTAAGAATTAAATTTCCTATTTTTTTATTTGGCGCATAAAATTGTGAATAGTTTTTTTATTTCATTTGCGTTAGAATGATTTTTGATTGCCTATTATGTTTCGGTCACCATCAGCAGTATCTAGATTGTCAAAATTAACAAATGTTTGTGCTAAATCCTTACCTAAATTTACAAAATAATTATTTATGTGATAATTTGTTGACTGCGGGGTATTTAATATATTTAATAACAATTTATTGCTTTCAAATTATGTATGTGTATGAATTATATTTCTAAGTACATTCCATAGTTTTTTATTATCATTTTTAGCCATTTCTACCTGTTCTTTATCATAATTTCGTTTAACTTTCTTCAATATATTGTTACAAAAATTTCTGTATCGTTTGTATATTAATTTAATCATTTCATTACCAGGAGAGCGCCTGGCTTTATTATGTAATTTATCTCTATGTCGTATGCACCTAAGGAGACCAGGAGTCATCCAGGGTTTTATGATTTTTTTTTCTATTCGAAAGTATAATTGTTTGGGTATTATTTTGTATACTTGATTTAATTGCGCTAGTTAAATATTGCATTGAAAGGTTTGGATCATAAGAAGTATATACCGACGTTAAGTCGATGTTTTGTATTTCTAAGTTTAATTTTTCATACTTAATTTATGTGACAATAGATTTAGTAATTTCAGTAAGTATGTTGGTTCATTTTCATTGAGCAGATTACCGGTTTATTATCAGTTATTGATATACCTATTAAGAACCATCGTAATGGAAGGACTCTTACTTTTAAGTAGTACATGATCAATCCATGATCCAGTAGCATCACGAGTTGAGAAGGTATGTGTTGGGAGTAAGCCGTGGTATGCGGCAAAGTGTAAATATTTTTCAGAGTTCTCATTTTGAAGCTCATTACTTATGTCGATATTTATATCTCCAATGACCACAATATTTTTTTTTGTATTAAAAATGATATTAATAAATTATCAATTTTTTTGTAAGATGGTGATCTATATATGGCCATAATCATTATATCGTTTAATTTTAGAATAATGCAGTTTCCTTCTTGAAATAATTATTCTTCAACTGTTAATACAAACTGGTCTTTAATATGCCTTCATTTTGATTATTATTATTTTTATTATAGCAGCATTTGTATCCTCTAAGTGATGGAACTGTTAACTTATTTAAAAGCCAACACTCTGTAAGCACTATTACGTCTAAATTTGTATTAAGCCTGACAATTAAGATCTCAAATTCACTCATATTACAATGTATACTTCTTATGTTTTGAGTTATAATTGTAATACCCGAGAAGATATGTTTGGCTGTATCTTCAATTTCGCAAATCATCGATTGCGATACAGAAAAGCTGTCTAAGTTATTCCACAATTGACTGTATTTGTGTGTTTGTAGCATTTATGTCCATTAACAAGAGGGCTAGCTATGTGTATATTGAATTTTGTAAGTGCATTTTGTGTATATAATGTGTATAAAAGAATTTTATAAATGTAAATAGTGTGTAAGTGAATTATGTAGTAATGTGAAACAGTGTAGTGTAGTAAAAAGTTGCTTAAAAGAAATAGTTTTGTCGTAAACATAACAAAGAAAATTAGTATTAAGCTTAAAACTAGCCATTTTAATTTTAACTAAGTCTAAGAACTAGTCGTTTTTACGAATGTAGACAACACCACGAGACGTCCAGCAAAAGGTGTAGTGATGACTTTTAGAAAAATTTCTAGCCATAAAGAAGAGTCTGCGTTTTATTACTTAAAGTTTCGGATATATATAGGCTTTTTTAAGAGCAATGTAGATGTGATGTATTTAACTGAGGAAAAATGCCAGGTAGAAGAAGAAGAGGTATCATACTTTATAATGTGCTTCTAAAATAACTTAATATTTTTCGACATGTTGTATATTTTGACAATATTCTCTAAAGAAGTGAATGAATAATCATATTTTCCATCTGGTTGACAATTAAAGATGTCCATCATAAATCTATTCAAAAGAAATACAAGATGGAGATGTCAAGTCACTTCATAAGTAGGAAAATAGTAGTCCAGAAAAATATGAACACTAACTTCTGACCCTGATTAGTGACAGATTGTCTTAAGCAAAAGATCCCATAATAAAATGTTTTAAAGGTTCCTTGATCTACCTTAAACCTTCAAATATAAAAGTTTACACCGGATATAAGAAGGCTTTATTTTTTGTTCTTGACTTTTACCAACGACTATTCTTGATGTTTGGTTTACCTGGAACTGGTGCTAAGCCTCTATCACTTTTTTAGAATATTCCACACGCACTTCTTGCAACGATTATTATCATTTAGCTGGAAGTAGTGACCATACGGAGGCGACGCGAATCAGGTTATAGTAACTACCCCTGTTTAAATCATTTTATATCCTCGGAGACAAATTTATGGGTGTACCAATAAAAAATCCAATTTATATTCTGGCTGCCACTATAATTTCTAGGACCGTCTTTATCTTAAAATACTTAGTACAAAGACAAGACGAAGAACATTTATAGACCAGTGCCGATAGCTTTTAAACATAATTAAATTATAGTCGAATGAAACTCATTAGAAAAGGAGGATAATATTATAAAAATTAAAGGAAAAATAATTTACGGGCAACCTGAGGTCGGAAAGGGTATGTGGGTGGGTATTTAAGGCTAAAATAGGGTTTTCTCGATTTCCGGCAAAACTAAAAGTCCTACGGAAAAACGTTATATGGCAAAGATCTAAAACTTTTGTACTAACATTTTTTTCACATAACCTCAAAATTTATATGAAAAATTCAAAAAACCAAGTTTTTGGTTTTATATTTTCATCTCATACAAAACCAATATTTTGTCACGAAATTTGCTTAAAACTTTCCTTTTAATGTGACAAATGCACTGTAATTTATTTGATAAGAAATATTTATTTTTTCAGCTTATTTTGAATAAATACCGAAAAATTTGCCTCATTTTCAATCGAATAATCATCCGTCAAAATATCAGGTATTTTTAAAAATTTTATCTTTTCAATTTGTTGAAATCTCTATTTTCCGATGGTGAAGAAAAAATATAAGTTTCTGACTTGCAGTACCATTTTTGGATAAAATAATCATGCTTTTAATGAAATGACACTCGATATCGTTTGGAAAATGGTCTTTCAATTTACTTTTAATAGTTTTAGCAGCTTAATGTCAATTTTCTGTAAATTACCTAAAAGAGGGGCTATCTGGAGAACTTCCAGAGTACACAACTATTAAAAACAAATTAGAAAGAGCATTTTAAAAACGATGTTGAGTGCCATTTCATTAAAAAGAGACATGATTATTTTTACCCTTCCCGACCTCAGATCGCCCGTAAATTATTTTTCCTTTAATATTATCCTCCTTTTCTAATGACTTTCATTCTACTATAATTTATTGTCACTTTTCATTAATTTTAAAGGCTTCTGCACTGGCCTATTAATTTCCTATACGTTCAAGAAAATAGTTTAAAAAATAAAGTCGTACTTCATATAAAACTACTTTTTTTTTGTGTTTTATAAATCTGAGGCTTATATCCACAATCACACGGAGAACATCACTCTCAGACTGTATCAACTTCTTTCATTTAACTTCTTAAGATGCATAAATTATTACCTCTCTTTGTAACTTGATTGCCCTCTGAGTATTGTGTTCCTTGACATTCAAGGATTCTTGTTTTTGGTTGAGTTCTAAGAAAGTGCTTCAGTTTCTTTATTTAACAAGTCAACCGGTAACAGACTAATCTCTTATTGAGATTTTTTCAATAACTATGAAATATTGAGACGGTGTTTTAATTTAACTTGATTGTATCTTTAATCATGGATAGAAGATATTTTTTAAACGATTATTCAATATTCAAAGAATTAAATGTTCCAATAGCATAATAAATTAACATTTTGATAATATTAATATTGTTAAATTCAAGTACTGTATGAGGAAGGGATAAGGAGTAAATGAAACAGCACGTACTATGCAGAATGTTTATTTGGATTTAACTTCTAAAACATTATGAACACAGTAAAACAAATAAATGCGGAAGAAGTATTTTATATAATTTTGATAATACGATTAAAAACATAATAAACCCGCCCTACGTTAAACAAAATGTTACAATAATATTATAAATAATATATTAGTATAGAATATTTTTTTCGTTTATTAATTAATAAATTGTGCTTTTCGTATTCTTATAATATATTCGCCAAATTAAAACTAGATATAACCGTACGCATAAAGTAACGGAATTTAAGAAACCGATAAATATACCGGTCAATAAAAAGAATCGGCATCTGTCAGAATAAAATGACAGCTGTCACATAGTCTGTGTAACTGACAGTTGACAGTCGACAGAACATGTCACATGTCACCGTCTGTAATAACACGATCGAAACAAACGTAATAATAAAACGAACAAAAGTCTGATATGGTTACATGGAAGTACTTAAGTTAGCGTTCAACAGTTTATCAACATCCGTATAAAAGTCATCTCTCCAATATAATCTTATCTAATATAAGGTAGGCGTCGTCTTACAAAGTACACACGATACAAAACACGCGAGCGGGCGGCACGCGACCCGTCCGCGGTAGGTAAAAAGATTCGGTTACAATATGATAGAAACGCTACGAAGTCACTACTCGAGCACGATAAACAGAACGTGAGCGGCGAGCAGACTTGTATTAATAATTAATATTCTCTAAGGATACATGTCGATAAGTCGATATGAGTAACATACAAATATGCACATTAATATGAGGCTCGTCGCTCGGCTACTTCTAACACTACGGCGAGAACCGATCAACGAATTCATTAACTACGGCCATGACGCCATGGCATAACATCGCGAGTCAACGCGCTCGACCCTCTAGTAACAACACCGCGGACCCGCAGGTCCCACAGGCCCCGGCCCGTATTAAAGCTAAGGTTGTGATATACTTAAAGCTTTAGCCTTCAGAAGCCCTAAAAAGATTTCCATAGAAAACATTCCTATTTCGTTGAATACGAAGCACGAGACAGTTTATCGTGACATTTTATACACGCGTCAGACTAACACAGAGCAATGATATGAGAGAATATACAACAAGTGATATGACAGTGGGTCTACTAAGAGATATGTACTGCATCGATCCTTACACACGGAAGAGGAAATTTGGTACTTTACATTAACATATACGACGATAGAGAGAACTCGCATGTGTGACAGTGGCGCGGCCACCGGTGGAGAAAGATTACAAAGATAACTCAGAGGTCGGGGTCCAACACGACACGTACTGCAACAACGGCACCGAGAGGCCCTTATCTATACAATAAGCGTTGCATACGGATGGAGTCGCGAGCGAGCGGCCGATACTTAGTGTTTGGAACAAACGACAAGCACATCGGAAACCGAGAGGGGGGGATGTATAGATAAAGGGAGGGGGTTATTGACAGTCGGGTGTTAGAGGTAGTGTCGGGTCGTGTTAGTGGAGACGCGTCACTGTCACACATGAAGGGCTTATTCTATCGTCGCAGCTTCACCAGTAACCCTATTAGTTATCTTTGTCTTTCTCTTCCGGTTTCCCGTTGGTGTATTGAGGAGGCAGGTTCACGTCGGGTGTCTGGTGACCGTCCTCCGTCATCACCGACACCAGCTCCTCCACAGCCTTCCCGAGATCATCTGGAAGTGACAAACATGGGTTGAAACACTTGTATGGACAGGAGACTTGTATTGCGATAGATTATATCTGGTGTCTGCACACAAGATCCACAATTCTGTTCTTCATTACACTCGATGTAGACACCAGAAGCAAAGAAATGTTATAACAGTTAGTATGTGTAACGTCATTACCTCATGGTATACGTCCTGCGAGGCGGCCGAGGGAAAGAAAACGAATTATTAGTCATTAAATAAAACATCGACGATAATAATAATCAGCAATGTGTCAAATACTGCACTAAAAACAATTATATAAAACACGACGAAAACATATCCATGCCAGAAAAAAACATGCAAAATTAAATTTAATACACACAGAAAAAAACACTGCAACTCATAGAAAAACAACACTGAAAAAATAAAATAAAACACTGCCTCTGGAACTGTAAGAAGCGGAAACGATAAGAACTATATTAATATGAACAGACGACGACTTGTTGGAGGAGCCGTGCATCATGAGCTCCGGCAACTGACCTGCGCAGTGCATGAGGGAGTGCACGGCGTGCGGCGGGGGAGGGGGGCGCTCCAACTCACGCTCGCGGTCACGGCCGCCATCTTACAACATGGCGGACACAACACGATATAACAATGACCAACGACAACTCACAAGTCTATCATATATGGTCAATGAAGTCGAGATTACCTAACGACGAGTTCATGTCGATGTGTTGTGATTATTGTATATGAGATACAGTAATACCCCGCTTTACAAAAGGGATACGTTCCGAAGAAAATCGCGTTAACTGAAATTCGCGTATATCGAGGTTTATGATTAAACACAGTCAAAATTGAATACACAAATATAAAAATCATTTCAATCAATCACTTTAATTCTAGGAACACTATACAATACATAGGTACTCCTATTTTTTACGAAAAAATACATGTATTGTCTTTTTGGTAGCGTTTTGTTTACGTTTTTGTAAAATACGTTCATAACACAAAACCTGAATAAATTTTTGAAAATCGCGTTATAGTGAAACCGCGCACAACGGGGTCGCGTTAAGCGGGGTATTACTGTAGTTAACATGTGTTGTGTGTTGTATATGTTAGTTATACTGACTGGTGTCCGTGTAGAGGCCGTTGGTGAGCTTGGCGGGCGAGTCGGTGGCCAGCTGGGACGCGGTCACCGAGCGGGTCTGGAGCGTGCCCGACGACACGCGCGCGCCTGGGGAGCCCTGCCCGCCTGGGGACGACTGGCAGCCAGGCTGTGGAGGGAGGGGGGAGGGGAATTAATATGAGATATAAACGTTGCACTTTAAATGAAGCTATAAAGGTTCTCCATAATTGGCTAATTTCATTGTCTTATAAAAATACAGAAAAAACTTATCGTACAATCAATTTTAGATTCATGATAATTATATTTATATCTTGTATATTTACTTTATAATACATATAATTATATGTATATGTTATTCCATTTTATTTATTTGTTTTTATATCTTTTTCTTTCTATATTTAAGATTTAATACTTTTGAGCCATTTGTAACATCTTTATAAAGAACACGCCATCTACCGTAGGTGAAACTTGTTATAGTTAATCGTTAATAACTCATCCACGACACAAGCTCGCTTAGTGTGGACGCCCCTGGAAATAGCGCCATATTATCACTTCAGCAAAATATTGTTATGTTTGTAATTACAAATTGTGTTCCCTGTTAACATTGCTGGTAATTTTTAAGAAATCAAGAAAATGGAAGAGTATTTTTATCTTTATCTGGTTAAATAGATATTTAAAGATTTAAAGTTAATTTCATATTTACTTTATAGGTGTGTACAGAAATTTTTTCTTATATTTTTAAATAAGAATAGATAGATACTTCGCCTATTAACGATATAAAAAATATCAGTCCGTAAACTTCGTATCTAGACAATATTTTATCTAAAGTAAATATGTACCATCAGTGTAGTAGTACTTCTACCCAGTAGAAGTAAATATAGTCTGGTAGTGCCTCACCTCGTCCAGTAGTCTCCGTAGTCTCTGTAGCTGCGCCTCCAGCTGTCGGTTGTGTTCCTCCAGTATGTGCATGCGCGCCTCCAGCCGGCCCTTGTGCTGTCTCAGCAGGCGAGCCTCCGCCATCATGTCCTGGGGAAACGGTTTCGTTAGTTACTAGGTCAGTCTGTGTGTGTATGTGTGTGTGTGTGTGTGTGTGTGTGTGTGTGTGTGTGTGTGTGTGCACCTGGTCGACGGGCGCGTTCCTGTTGTCCGTGAGTTCCTCGGGCGTGCTCCCCGGTGTCTGTTTCGCCTTCAGTCGCTCGTACTCCGCCTGTAAGCTGGCGTTCTCTTCCTCCAGCTCTCTGTAAATGATTGTGTCAGAAACTAATATTAACTTGATTATGTAGCTCGACATTCTTCTTCTACCTGGCAATTCCCCAGCTTTAGCCAGGGCCTGGCTTACATGTTGTGAATAGTTTTAGCTAATTGTTTTTACGACCGGCCACCTGCCTGACATCAATCCTCTTTGGGAATGCGTTAATCAGTGATGTCTAAATACTCTTAGAAAGTACATTTGACTCGGATAAATCACATTGGTACTTGCCAGGATCGAACTCGCGGCCTTGTGCATGAGATGCGTGTCTTTTAACCACTAGGCCGCCACTGAGTAACTGACTGTAGCTCGACATTATATAATAGCATTTCATGAAGTATGATAGTAACCAACCAACTACCATTTAAGAAACTGTGTGAGTGATCAAACAGCCTATCTAATGATCAAGTTATATTATATATGTGTTGTATGTACCGTATCATAGCCTCCAGTTCATGCCTCTGTTCCCGCTGTATCCCGGACACCACGTGTTCCGGGGAGCGAGGCGCGTCCGACCCGCTCAGCGACAGGCAGTACTGGGCGATCAGCGCGTGCTCCTCGTCACTGACAAACATACACACATACTATATAATACACATATTAAGTCCTTGGATTTCATTTTCCCCAAAAACAACATCTTATCTGGCTGACATTTTTTATTCATTAATAAATTGAAGTTTTATAATTTAATCTGCAAGAATGTCATAAAATTAAAAACAGCTAGCTAAATCTTACTTTTATATAGATAGTTCATGATTATCATTAATATAATGATCTATCGGAGTCCTTTCACCTATCTTCCTTCACCATGTGTGTCGTCATACCTCTCTGGTGTATTATTAAATTCCATGTATTACTGTTATATTTATGAGTAATAATGAAATAAAACCATGAACTTGTGGCACACAATTACTGCTTCAACGTAGACTGACAACTGTCACAAACATTATTTATCTACCTACTATCTGAATTTGTTACAAGCACTATAATTACACAATTAATATGACCTATTTATCTGTCTGTCTGTATCGTTATCGTCGTCGTCATCAGCCTATCAACGCCCACTGCTGAGCAAAGGCCTCTTTCTCACATGGAGAAGGTTTGATTAATCACCACGCTTGCTCAAGACGGGTTGGTGATTTCAAACTTATAATTGTGAAACTCTAAGTCCAGGTTTCCTCACGATGTTTTCCTTCACCGTATGTCAGTGGTGTCTAAATACTCTCAGAAAGTACATATGACTCGGAAAAATCACATTGGTACTTGCCAGGTTTGAACCCGCACCTTGGCAACGAGAGGCGGACCCTTTAACCATTAGGCCACCACTGACTTGTCTGTCTGTATATATATATATATACCTATCAGGCGTGTCAGCGGGTCTCGCTCCCAGCTCCACCTGCGCCAGTCGTGTCGCGTACAGTTCCAGTCGTGAGTGCATGTCGTCCGCGCTGCTGCCGTGCTGCGGGGACGGGGCGGGGGACTCGAGGGCGTCACCTGCGGGAGGGGGGGTACAGGTTACTGACATTACAGACATACGGTTGAATATAGATGGAAGTAATGGTGTTCCGGTTAATGTTAATATTATCGTTTTAGTACCCTGACAGGGTTACTAAGTTGAAACCTTAGCAAAAAATTACGAGATGCAGCAAGTAGTTGAAGTTTGTTTATTCGGTTTAGAATAATTAAACAAGTGCAATTGAGTCAAGTAGGTATATACTATTTTAGATATAACATGTAATTGGCAGAACATTATTGTCTCCATGAAGCAAATTTAAACAATAAAAGTGTTGTCAATGAAGATACAAGAAGGGATAAGCAATGTTTTTTTGAATCAAACATCTATTATAGACTATATTATTTCAGATCCATCTATATTATCTACATTCATTTCATCTATATTAAGGAATAAATTTAAAGAAATCAAGATATTGACTGTTGCTTCTCAATATATATTCTGCAATGTTATGTATGTACGAAAAAATATTAATGATTTCATGAGAAAATGTGATACTCATAGCATTGGTACAAGGAACAAACATAAACTTGTTACTCCTGTTACTCGACTACATAGAGTCAGTAACTCCTTTGTGGGGCAATGTATACGGTTTTACAACAGGATCCCAGAAAGCGTTCAAAATGCCTCTATTGCTAAATTTAAAAAAAATATTAAGGAACGCTTGTGTGCAAAAGGTTACTATACAATCAATGAGTTTATGAACGATAGCACACCTTGGGAATGAAACGATCGCCTCCTGGCTATTTCATCTCATATAAAATTGTGTATATAATATATGAAACAAATATTAAAAAAAACCCGCTGAGTTTCTTTCGCCGGTTCTTCTCAGGTCAGGGTATTTTCTTTTCCGAACCGGTGGTAGTGTCTCAAGTGACCATCAATAAGGAAGTGTAATGCTTCTTTATTGAATAAAGTTGTTTGAGTTTGAGTTCAGAACAATTTTCTTGAATAGGACGTAGCTTTGTAACAATATATGTAAGTCCTAGTTGATTTAATGAAGAGAAAAGTGAAATATTTCCATTGCCATAACAAACCTTCTAGCACAGTCTGTACGGGCAGGTAGCCCACTCGCGGATGTTTCTTGAAGTAGCGCGCGGACTTGAACTTGTTGCGGAGGGCGCGGGTGAAGTCGCGGACATCCTCACCGGAGGTAGTCTGGAAAAACATAATAGATACTGATATGATGCACGAACATACATACGAGGACCATGCGTTGGACAACTTGACGATCCAACGAAGACATATATGTATAAAAATCTAATATACATACATAGCAGTGGCGTGCACAGAGATTAAGAATATGTTTGAAAAATAAAATACAAATTGTCATCATTTCCTCCTCTAAAACATTGATGATAATGAAACTAATATTTTTATTATTTTAACGGACAGACGAGATGCCTGCCGTGATCACGGTTGCTGCAAAGTAATCTTAACGTCAGGAGTATGTAGTTTTTAAACAATAAATTAGGAGAAGTAATCAGAAAATATTAATTTCATTTAAATATTGATACTATTCGCGCATAATATTACAGCAGTCCGATCAGAACCAACATCTATATACTTTATGAATCTCTCAAATACCTCCGAGCCACGAAAGTACTTTAAAACGATTACAATCTGTTCACCACAGCTTTATAAAAGTTATTTAAATAGGAATATCCATTATTCAGTGGAGATTCAAACATTAACAACAAGACTAACAAATTAACTTATTTGTGTGTACACAACCTGCTAACTAATTAAAACTTTTTATTAAAACGAATAACATTAACTTTCTTTTAGTTCAATCTCAACTGGTCACACACCTTAACTTTACATTTATTTTAATTTTATTATCAAACGACAATATTGAAAATCTACTTGTAAATAATTTCAATAATCACATATCACAAGCACAGAGCTCACAGCTTTAATTTTCCATAATTCGTTAATAAATTAATTCACTGTTCACTAATTAACTTATTCACTTGCGCTCAGAAAGACAAATGATATATAATATTCAATAATAATAAAATGGCGAAAAAAATATATGAACAGTTTACCGATCAATCAGAGAGTCCCGTTTCGTTTGACAATTAACGGACTTTCTACGACATTTTAAACAATACAAAATAATCAGTGCTTCTCGAACACTATGCGTGTTAGTTTCACACACACATACAAACATTTCCTGCATACATACACGAGATTTGTAGATGGTTCTTGAGAATTTTTGTATGGAAAATAAGCAAAGAGTGGTTGTGCATACCGCCGCTCTGGCTGCATAGCGGCGCTAGCAGTTGGCAGCGGGCGATAATGTTTCGTTTTTATATTGATAGATGGCACTTACTAACAAATCATTAAGCAAATGTATTTTAAATGTCTGTTAACATTTGTATTTCGTAATGTATGATTAAAAGTATGTAAGTAAGATTTAAATAATATAGGTTTAATTGTTTAATGAGTAGGGTATGCAGTGCTTATTTATATCTATAGTGTGCACGCCACTGATATACAGTATATTAAAATGTTATTGTTATGTATACTTCGCAAAATGGACATACCGGAAGAATGATATAAAAAAGGAAGATAAATCATACACGAGATATAACGGACTCATTTTCAAAAAGTTGGTTAAGAAAGCTATCAAAATATTATTAGGTTTTTATAAGAAAGTCTCTAGAAAGTTTATTAATATATATCTGAGTAGAGCGGGTAATGTCTTACAGCTGTACAGTACTCCTGCATGGGGTGAGTCAACTTGTGGTTCTTTGCTTTGCGGCCGTTGAAGAAACACTTCTGACACATGTCGAAGTTGAAACACTTCAGGCAGCGATATCTGGAAATGACGAATATAAACAATAATTACTAGAATACTTAAAAACATTAGCTTTTCAAAAATCAAATGGGAAATTAGATGAATATTATTATAATTTACAGTAGACTTTGTAAATAAAAATCTTTAATATGTAGTTAAACTGATCACATTCTATCCAATCATGATAACAATGAATGAAGAATCCTTCACAGATATATCTGAAAGTGTATGGCTTCACCCATACATTAATATAATTTCATTGCATGTACACATACATCAGCAAATAAATATAAATGTAAGCATTGTTATAATTGACTCAGTATTAATAAAGCGTTCAAATAAACATACTGTTCATTACCTAAACGCGATACTCACAAACTAGCTGGTCTCCATAAAACTATCAAATCTCAATGGTGTGTGGTATCAAACATATACAGAAAGAATATTCGTCTTAAAGTAACCATATATCTTTATATATATAATTCTTCTGTGAGTGTGTATGTCACTGAACTTCTCTCAAAAGACTGGACCGATTTTGGTGCAATTTTTTGTGTGTGTTCAAGGGGATCTGGGAATGGTTTAGATTCACAATTTTGTCCGCTGGACAATGTTTTTTAATTAATTTTTAATTTATTGGTAGTTGTTGATACAAACGTTTTTTTGACATTAGATTTGACAACTAACTAATATGTCAATCATTCTGTCGCATTTCAAAACACGGAGATTTATGGCCTTAATAGGTAAACTCCTAAAATATAAATAAAAAAACGCAACAGATATTTCTTGATTATAGGGAGATACGAAGTTCGCCGGGTCTTCTAGTATATGTATATAATCTCACCGGAAGCCCACTATAGGATAGTCCTTGCAGATGTTACACTTGGCCTGGTGTCTGGCGGGCTCGGCGGCCGCCAGTCGCTGTAGCACGGGCAGCCACACCATGGACTGAGGCTCGCGCTGTAGCCACTGGAGGAAGTGGAATGCCTCGATGTGTTGAAGCTGACCTTCTGCATCTCTTTCCTCCTCATCCTTTTGATTTTCCTTCTCTTTCTCTTTCTCCTTGTCTTTGTCGACTGGAAGATTCGAAAAGAAAATTATTAAATAGTTATCTAAGCATGAGATTATGTTTTGGAGGTCATCGTATAGAAAAATAGTTCTAAATAACGAAATGTAAGACTTTGGCAAGTGTTTATTTAAATGAAACTATTATTTTTCGGTTTATTGTAAAAACTACATATAGATGTGCAACTCGTCTTAATGATCACGGTTGCTGAAAAGTAACCGAAACGTCGGGAGTATGTAGTTTAATTTAAAGTAATTTTATGTTCTTCTTCAGTAATTTGTAATAAAAGTTTTAATTAAATGTGGTGACAAAGAGAGTTTTGTTTAAACCCATCGCTAAATATAATTCAGATTTCTTTTTATAGGGTCTTCACTAAACTTACTCGACTTCCTGTCTAGAGTACCCTTGTTGTTATCCCTAACGGAGGCTTGTTCAAAGCAGCTCCGGACTGAAGGCTCTATGTTGGATCCACCGAACGCGGCCACCTCACCCAACTGTCTAGGTATCTGTCACATATATTATTATATTAACTTATGTTGCTAAATTAATAATAACATAAACTGTATTTATATTTACCTGTATACAGTCATGTAATAATAGTCCTAGTTTTCTTTGGTCAGCGCGACAAGACGGATCAGCGATCAAACGGAACAGATACCTGGAATATGATCAATACTGAGAAATGCATTTCCTATTCCATATTTTGTCTCTATCGATTCTTCTTCCTGGCAATTTCCCAGCTTTAGTCAAGGTCTTACATGTTGTGAATAGTTTTGGCTAATTGTTTTTTTTGGGAACGCATTAATCAGTGATGTCTAAATACTCTTAGAAAGTATATGGGAAAAATCACATTGGTACTTGCCAGGATCGAACCCTCATGCATGAGAGGCGGGCCTTTTAACCATTAAGCCACCACTGGCTTAAATATCTTGTCTCTATCCTTAATGTATGTTATTCTCGTGTTAGTGTGTGTGTGTACCTGTATTTTTCTTCCAGATGTCCCTTACACAGCAGCACCAAGCCCACCTTGAAGCTCAGCACCCTGATCTGTCCCGTTCTCTGACTATCGTACACATTGAGCAGCCAGTTGATAGATAAGTCCAAGCATAGAGGGACATTCACTAGACTTGGGTTTTCCGCTGCTATCACCTATTATGGTTTAAACAATTAGACACATGCATCATGTTACATTCATTGGAGGTTTATAGATTTGATTTTGACGTCATTTTTATTGGGAAGATTTTTATACCAAAAAAATTTAGAAGACGAAAAAATTCCATTCGTTTGAGACATCCAAGCTTATATCTCCGATTTCATAGTCTTTATTTTGGTAGTGCTATATTTGAAGTTTTTGTACGTGTTTTTTTCGTATTACATTGCCACTAACCTCGTATAGTGATGTGAGTACAGTGATCATGTCAGGTATGTCGATGAGGCGGTCGTTCTGAGCTCTCAGTCCGTGCGAGTCGAACGCCTCCAGGGCGGCCGGCAGTTGTAACATGTGCACTGAACAAACACACGTTACATAATAAACACATATACTATGCTAAAGTTAAAGCTATGTGTACTCTCTTTAACGTCACTTTCCTATGGTTATTAAAATATAATATATACAAGTAATAAGTCCTTTTTTAATAGATATTTTAGCTGAAAAACTAAAAAACTTAATATGATTTAGTTTGATTTTTAAGCAAGTCACTATTTTACGTAATTTCCTCTGTGTCTTCGATCTCCGATGTTAACTAAAATGATTGTTAATTTGTATGAAGTGAAACTTGTTGCTTTATATTATCTCGTCGCATGTAGCGGTCGCGACCTCGCTGGGAACTCGCTCGGAACACAGCGACAGGTTCGTCGCGTGGTTTCACGGACAATATGTATTCAATGAACGACTACGGTTAAATGTTTAAAGACAAACAGCTCAATTACATACTAAGTGCAGTTTGAAATAGGACAATAAAGTAATTGCTCGTATTATATGGCGAGGATTTGTTTGATGAACGGTAATTAAAGTTAAAAACTTAAACTTACTGCAAAGTGCTTTCTGCACGGTTCTTAGTTTGAGAGCGGTCCTGTACGCCGAGAACCGAACCTCGTTGAGGTCAGCCAAGGAGTTCATCAGCTCGATCATCTTAGGATGGTCCCAGTGGGTCGTCTCGAGCTCGTGACTGGAATTAGGAACATATGCTTTGATTAAATCCGCCAAGGAACAAGATCATACGTTTTATATATTTATAAAATAAAAGGTGATGCAGACAGTATTTTTATGATTTAATATATGAACAAGAATATACAGCACTCACGCTATTATTAACAACCAAAGTTACAGACAAGAATGTATTCCACTATGACAAGGTGAGACGCCATCTAAAGGCATGTTTTTAATTTCTTAAGTTGCCATTAACAATACGGTCCATAAACTTGAGTACACAAATGATAGCGCTGACGTCCTGAAAAAGGATGATAGTTAAGGCTCGTTAGAATCATTAGTATAATACTCACTTGATGTAGTACGGTACGTTAGCGGGAGTGACCGCTCGTTCCCAGGGCGGGCGCACGGAACCAGCCAGGAAACCTTGAGCCGCGCCCGCACCTCCGTCACGAGCGACGCCCGCCAGCTGACGAGCACGCTCCTCACCACCGGCACTGAGAGCTGAAACCCTGGACAAAGGACAACATTATGAGAGTTTTCGTAGATTTTTTCAATTTATCATTGTGGAACTAGTAAAAACCAAACATATAATTTGTCATAATTGCCGCAATATGTCAATCTGATTGTATTATAATCCCTTGTGTCAACCTGTTTTGCACTGTGTGGTATCATCTTAATAAATATCAATATAATCCATTATTATTTTCGCCCAATTCCATCAATCATTAAAGAAGTTAGTTACATGTACTGATAGAGCATGTTTAACTTAGTTTACAGGAACAGATCAGTTTGATCGGCAAATTATAACACCTTGGACTGAAGTCACCATAAACTTCAAATATAACTTTTGTTATTAGTATAGTCGCTGTAACTTCTTGCACGCATTGTATACAACCTACCTGGTGTTCAGATCATCCAACTTCGTAATCAACTGTTCGGGCAGCTGTATATTATCTCTGGCCATAGCCTGAGCCTGCGCCCTCAGTTCATCCGCCAGTCTCTTGAGGGGAGGCAGCTGTGCCCTCGCTCGTGAGACCGCGTCTAGCTGAGCGCGCGCGTCCCGAGCGTCTCCCGGGGCGCGCCATGACGCACGAGCAGCCTCCGCTGTTTGGACGCGAGATGATAGCTCGTCCAGAGAAGTCGTGAATGTGCGTACACGCTGGAAATAAGTTGAAAACGTTTTACATTAGAAACAGCTGATATTTTACCTACTTTGGGTCTTGCTTGCGAAAAAGTTTTATATTAGTTATGAAGTAAGTTTCTTATTCTAAACTATGGAATATTAGCAAAACATTGCGTTGCTAATTCCGATATAACATTGCTTAATGAAACTCTGATCGACTATTAAATTCTATAAAGATTTGCGTTTTTAATAAATCTGTTTCATTTTCTCATAACTAATTGATCGTTATCAAAATCTCTTTCGATTAAATCTAATAAAATTAGTAAGTCTAGATATTAAAGCTATCCCTTAAATAATTAAATATTGAAGGTCGGTAATTCGACAAGTACTATATAGTATATAAAGCGCGTCAAGTATCAGGATTCCCGGCCTTGTAGGGAGACGCGACCTTGCCGGCCGTCTTCACTTACCAAGGTCTACTTGTTCAAACTGTTTGAAATCTTTATCAAGGAACGTTTATTAATAATTATACTTTTGTTTCATTAGCGTATTTAATTAAAATTTTAGTCGTCGCAGCGCCGGACGCTTAATTTCCGCCCCCTTGTTAGCGGGGACTCATTACTTACTTATAAATCACAATGATGCCCTATAAACGAAGGATAAAGAGTATCGTGTTTAAAATAGGAATTAATCAAAACACTAATATTGAAGCTATCAGAAACTCGATTTATGAAACTGATAATTTTAATATTTTAATAACTATTTGTTATAACATTTAAATGGACTAATATTTTCGGATTACTTCGCGTATTTTATTATTTTCAAAAACTACATACTCCCGAAGTGTCGGTTACTTTTGCAGCAATTGTGATCACGAAAATGATCACTTATATCTCACTCATATTACATCCTGTATAACATAAAGATTTCTGATATCTGTGGTTATGTTATTTAAACATATTCCCTATATATTTTCTCTCCTCTATATGAATGGTCTATTTTAACATATATCTGTATAGTGAGTGACGTGTGACGTTTCCCTGTTCCCACATAACTCCTGCTTGTAGACGCTCTCCGTTCGTTTCCATCTCACGTCGCCATTAGAGTTGTAATCGACGCACTCAACGCATACCTGAACACTGAACACACAGAACTAACACACTGGAATAGTTCCAGGTAACTTTAAGAGAGATACATTTATATAAATAATATTACATTTATATAAAAAGTCAGTGGTGGCCTAGTGGTTAAAGGGTCCGCCTTTCGTTGCCGAGAGCGCGGGTTCAAACCTGGCAAGTACCAATGTGATTTTTCGGAGTCATATGTACTTTCTGAGAGTATTTAGACACCACTGACATACGCTGAAGGAAAACATCGTGAGGAAACCTGGACTTATAGTTTCACAATTATAAGTTTGAAATCACCAACCCATCTTGAGCAAGCGTGGTAATTAATGCTCAAACCTTCTCCACGTGAGAAAGAGGCCTTGCTCAGCAGTGGGCGTTGATAGGCTAATGACGATGACGACATTTATATTGAAACTCATTTCAGATACAAAAACGATTGGAAGATAAAAATAAAGATTTGTATGAGTTTTAAAAATTGGTCATTAATTTGTTACTAATTTAGTTAATCTTCGTTCTATAACAGGTCACTTCCAGTCAATATTCATCAGTGACATCTTAAAATTCACAAACGTGACGTTTCTTCTGTTACATTCTCATAAATAAATTCTACCTTATACTATTGTAATAGAGCTTATTTTCGTTTGCATCTTTTAATATTAATGCAACCCAATATATAGGTAAATTAACAAGTAACTGGTCAATAAATGACTGTGAATAAGTCTCTAAATATATTGAAATGATTTTAAGGACAGTATTCAATCAAACCTTTATTAAATATTCATTTCTGATTTCCAAAAATAAGGTCGTTAAGTCTATGTACATTAATAATTTCTTTTCTATTGTCAAATTTTGAAAGATTTCCAAAATATACTTTTTTTATTTACAACGAAAAAAGTCTCTTGAGATTAATTTACTGTAAATACTAAACAGAAGTACTACTGAATAATTTATTTAATATTTTCATCAAATAATTTGTAAGAAGCCATTTGAGATGTAAAAGTTTGTAAACATTCTTAATTATAAACTACTATTAAGAGCGAAGGGTATCATCGGTTTTAATTAAATGATTACAACTTGTAGTCATCACACCCAACAATAAGAACAAAGAATTTAAACTGCTTGTGATGTTTCAAAGTGGTATATTTAAAATCAACAAAACACGACATTGTAAGTCTTAAGATTTGGCAGTACTTTAAGTATATTCAAACCACAATACAACATCACAACAATTTATTGTATAAATTATAGTTATATGTATATTTAATAAGGTCGTTATACAAGTGGTAAGAGTGGTAAGTGGTAAAGAAACTGAAAGCTGTCCATTAAAGCACGTGAACTTGTGTTTTCTCCACTAATGAGGAGTTCAGATGTTCCTACTACCTAGCGATCATTAAGAATACTCACTTGGTTAGTTCACGATACTTTGTTGTTTAATAAATATATATTTACTTGTTCAGTTCTCATTGTATATGTGGAAATAGTTGCGTATTCTGATTCAGAAATAGTGAATATAAAACCGATGTTAATTCAAACAAAACTTAAAATAAATAGAACACTTCAACAAACAGCGAGTGAGTGTTTATGTGCAGGTTAAATCAACTTTATGGTTTCACGGAACTCTATTTCTGGTTCCGGAGATATACGACACAGATATACATACATACATACAGACAGACAGACCACACCAACGATATACATAGATGGATTTAACGACTTATAAAACGCAGAGAATCGATCAATATTAAATAGACAGTGATTAAGGAGATCGAGATGCAACAGGAGATGAGACTGAGTGGAAAAGGATTCATTATTATAAGAAAAACACTTCGAATGATAATAAAACATACGATGACATAAAATATTGCTTTACACCAAGATACACAGTACATAGTTCATTTAAGGATATATCACTTTCAATAAACTAAACGAATACGCATTATTTTTGGGGTAGAACGTAAACTTCAATCTTTATATAAAAAGAGATAGCGTAGAACAATGGAAAGGACATAGGATACTTTTCTTCCGTCTGCAAAAAAAAAAATATAACTTGATCAATTTCAAAATCTTCTTATCTACTGTCTTTAACGAGGATTAGAGTTCGCCCGGTCCGCTATACATTTCTATGTAATTCTAAAACTAACGCAGACGAAGTCGCGGGTAGAAACTAGTATATATATAATATCGCAATTAAATGAGTATGTTTGTCAATAACATCAAATCTCTGTGAAGGTAGACCGCTAGCTAATTGCTGTAATGATTCAATTACACTAAGTACGTGAATGTGGCGTGTGTCCGTGTATCTGTGTGTTCCGACGTAACTCGATAACAGTCAACACGAATCCTTCATTAATTGGGTCTTGATTAATATGTGACGCGACCGATACATTCGTCATTACAATATATGAATATTAACTGATCAAACATTGTTTCTGTACACTTATATTACTATCTACTACTATGTACAAACTATTTTAAATGGCCATGTAAAAAACTCATTACTATACAAAAGTATCAATAAAGCAAGTTTAAATGTTTAAGAACTGTTCCAATTTATAAAAGATATACATACAATTATTCTAAATTGATTCTCATAAATTAATTGTTTTGTGCTTGTAAAACCACATATTAAACTTATTTTTTGTCAACTCTCTGAATGAATATTACATATTTTGAAAGTAATGTATTTTTAAATGCTATTTTATCTTATTATTTTAATAGTATTCAATTTTTTGACAAGAAGATTGTTATCATTATTATTGAAACTTCTTTTATTCATTGTATCTACATATGTATTTTAAACCATTGCATTCATTTTTATTAACTGACTTATTACCTTATTTTTATTACCTTATCAAATTTGTACATTTAATTACTATCATATATACTCTTTATTTATTAGTTAAAGCTTGAGTTAAAACATTTCAAAAGCTTTGTTCAAAGTAAATCGTTCACTTCCTACAGCCTTATCAGGCAGCATGTGAGCGTGATAAGGTATCACAATCGAAGCAGAGTTAGTGAGTAACTAGCTTAATAACTTGAAATAGTTAAGTTGAACTTCGAATACTAACTGAAACTTTAACTACGATATAAAGAAATATGTCCTTAATTTATTACGAAAAGTATTTTATAATTATTGACTACTCAGTGTATTAAAAATATTGACTGTCTCATTTTACTTGCAGCTAAAGCCTCGGGAGAGAAATTATGATTACAATTTTTTATATAAAGATTCTAGAGAAAATGAGAGCAAAGTCCCAGGAGTAACTTAGTTATCTTTAATAAGGACATATTAAAAAAATCATAAAAAATAAAAGTGAGTATCGTTCCAACTTAAACGAAATTGAAATGAAATATTTTAAACATGTCATGAAACTAGACAGAGAAATGGAAATTTTTTGTTCAAATAATACCTTTTTCAGTAGTCAAACGCAGGGTGAAAAACCTAGTTAAAGTATAAGTAACAGACCGTATTAAATATAAAAGCTACATTAAAGGCATACGCGCGTGTCAGCCGCTAAGTATTAAAGCGTGTTACATACCCGGGTGAAAGTCAAATCAGATATAAAACAGACATTCATCTAGCGAGGTGGTAGCTGACTACAGCTATTGTGATTGGTGACTATTAATGATAGACAAGTTGAATTTAATAAGGATATGTTAACGACAAACAACCGGTTCCTATAATTATTATTATATTTAAGATAATTCATCAATGTTAATTTGTTTCGTTGGTACGTCAGAACTAATCAGACGTGTGACACTATGTCTGGAATTAAGGAGTTCAATTTGAGTCCAAACAAAATCTAATTTATTAGAAAAAATATATAAAAGACTTCATAATATCACTAAAGTTTAAGTTTTCTGATCGTCTTAATGGCGATCAATTGATCGATACTAATATTTTTTATG